AATGACCGGTTCACTTTTAAATACAATCAGATTGTGTCGATAAAAAGATATCCTTGCCTTATCATCGCTTCCTCCTCAACCACCAGATGCACGCTAGGAATTGCTAATTCTAGTTCTTCTCTACTGAGTTGGACGTGGAGTTCCGCTTGAATTCCATGTTTGTAAACTTTACTGCTATGCCAAGGCAAAGACTGAAAAAGTCAAAATGTATCAAATAACATTTCATTTTTCTCTGTTGGATTTTTGGTTTCCAAACAAATAGATCAAACTTTTTTTCCCTGTCAAGTGAAATCAAAGTCCCTAGCAGGTCCACTTTATGGAAAAGCAAGGGCAAACAAAGCATTTATTTTATAAATAAACAAATATTGTACTAATAAATAAATAAAAATATATTATTTCCTGTAACCTTGCCATTCAGCTATGCAGCCACTCTGTGATTCAAGCATGACTTTGTTGGCGTGTGACTGATCTCTAGTGGAAGCGTGGTGAACTGACTGTGTGATTTGTGTTAACATTGCATCCGTAAACCAGATGAAACAAAGTCTGTGGAAATCATGCATCAATATCCAAATCTGAAAGGCAGAAAATTCAAATTTAAGAATTGCATTTCGCTTTCTAGTTCCAAAATTATATTTCAGAGCTTGCAAAGAAATTCAACAAAGCTGAATTCTGTATCAAATGGTCTCAACCCAAAGACCTCGTGGTAGTCCAAGGAATCACTGTTTTAGTAAATTCTAAAGTTTGGTTATTTACAAAGTCTACAAAATAGCGGCAGCCATGACAATAATCTGCAAGGAATTCAGTCCTAATAAATGATCACCATTCTCAAAAAAAGAATTCCTGTTCAACCCAAACCCTGCCAGTGTGACATCACCACACTTTACACCTAGGAAAATGAAGAATACGATAGTCTTACGCAGTAGGAGCAGAAGCCCATCTGAATCTGTTATTGTTTGTTCTCAAAACAGCTCTCTGCTTCAGATATAATCTATGGTGTGGAACATAGCAGAACTGGATTAGAAGAGTAATGCGCCTAGTGTTGATAATTAGGGATTATTCTAGCCTCGGTGAGGGAATAATCTAAATTTTAGTAATTTGCTTTACCTTCATAACCTTCTTTACTGAATACCTCCAGCAGCAAAGAAATAGTTAACAGAACTTTTCAAAATAACCAATCAGAAAAAAACAACATGAATATAAAACAGCTCACAGGCAGGGTTCTCTACCTGTTGGAACAACTCCAGATTACACTGGAAGGAAAAAGAAACATTGTGAAAGTAAAATTTGCCTCCTGCTTTTAATAAAATCTAGATTATTCCCTCACCGAGGCTAGAATAATCCCTAATTTTAAGGCAAGACAAGAGGCTTCACATTTGCAATTTTAACGCCCAGACATAAATACAGAAGAAACATGAGAGCGCAGATGGAAGTAAAAAGTATGGAAAGTCGATTCCCTAGACCAATTAGCGGCGCCCAGAGAATATCCATAAGGGACCCACCAGCCTCTAGGGCTGCTGAAGCTGCAGCACCCCAAACTGAATGAGCCCCAGAGGAACTCGCCACGCCAGCCAATGAAAACAGCCATTGAATCCAACAAGCGATTATAGGTGCAGAAACAGCCCCTAAACAGTGGAATGTAGAAAATCACTAGCTGCACATGGGCAGAAGGCCGAAAGGACAAAGTCACTGAGAGACACGTCCATAGACAACGTGCCACACAGACATGAGGTCTATACGGAAAGTAGGGATACGACACAGAAGACAAATTTGTTTTTTTATTCTGCGGTAAATAGAAACAGACACACCCTCTGGTGAAAAGGAGAAGGATTTTACATCAAAAGCACGAACATCAGAAACCCGTCTAAAAGACACCAGGCATAACAGTAGAGCCAGCTTAGCAGAAAGCTGGCATAGACATAAGGCCCTGTTATCAGGCCATTCCTCAAGGAAGCACAAGACAAGCGAAAAATCACAAAATGAGGAATAGCGGGAAGTAGACGGCCTCAAAAGGTGCACACCTCGCAACAGTCTGCAGACTGAGGGGGTCCTTACCAACACGAGAACCTTGGAAGGGCACATGAGCCGCCGAGATAGCCGATCAGAATATATTGATAGTCCTATATGACTTACCCTGAGAAAACAATCCGGCCAGGAAGTTCAGTACGCTTATGATAAGGGCTGTAAAGGGATCCAAACGTCTCTCCAGACACCAGCCATGCAGATATGATCGTCTGGTGCCAGGCACCCAAGGGTCCCAGAGCAACTCTCTAGCTGTTGTCGATAGGCCTGATAGAACCCAGGAATGCCGGAAATGGTCCAGGCCACCAGTGACAGATGACCCTCCAATACCAACGGATGTGGATTCCCTGCTGGATCACGTAGGAGGAACTCGGAGACTGGGAGAAGTAGCAGGTCTTTGTACGATAACTCCAGCAGTAGAGGGAACCACGGCTGACTCCTCCAAAGTTGTGCGATCAGGAGAAGCGACACCTTCAGAAGCTTGATCCGATGCGATACCCGGAGAATCATGGAGAAGGGATGAAATGCATACGCCCCCGAGGAAGGCCATTCCTGAAGGAATGCGTCCACTGCTTTGCTTCGGGGATCTGGGAGCCAACTGAAGAATCGGGAGTCGAGAGATCCGATGCAATACCCGGAGAATCATGGAGAAGGGATGAAATGCATACGCCCCCGAGGAAGGCCATTCCTGAAGGAATGCGTCCACTGCTTTGCTTGATCTGGGAGCCAACTGAAGAATCGGGTGCAGGTCTTGAAGTGTCAGTAGACGACATATGTGTTGACGGCATGCAGGTTGATCACAGAAATCTCCTGTTTTCTTCCTTACTAGGAAAATGTTGCTCAGGAGGCGAGGGGCGCCTGTCGCCCTCTCCACAGTGCCCTTGTCCAGCAGGGATAGTATTTCTAAGTGTACCATGTTATAAGCCTCCTTGTCCATACGTATTGGCCGTGGGGTGGAGGCTTGTATTGGCTGTTCGAAAAAGTCAAAATTAGCCACATTCTGTAGGACCTACGGATTCCCCGTGATGGCTTTCCACTGAGGAAAGTGAGACAGCCTGCCTGCATTGGGTAAGTTTGATATATAAGGGATGACTCTTACCTGATGCGTATCTACCCTGAGTGGAGGTAGTGCCTCGGCTTCTGGACGACCTTTGTAGAATCAGCGGGTGATACTGGTATCGGGAGGAGGATGTCACATCATGCCTTGTTCTGCGGATCAGTCTGGTGATGGCTTCTGGTATCCAGTACTCTTTTTACAATTCTTGTTTAGTTTTTCTTGTTTTTTTGGTTTTCTATTCTATGTCTGGTTTTCTTTATGCTGGGTTTTTCTGGGTTCATTCCTGTATTCCGTCCTGGGAATTCCCAGTCTCCAGGATTCATTTAAATGCTTGTTATATGTTGCCACACCCGTTTGTTTTCCATCATTCCTTTTGTTTCAGTGTTCCTGCAGGCAGCTGCTCAAGTCTTCTGCCCTTTCTTGCAGGTAAGTAGTATGTGTGTTTTCTTTGGTTGGTTTAGCTTGCATTAGGCAGAGAAGGACCTGCCAGATATGGGGTACATTGGCGTTGTTGGCAGGCTTATGCAATGTATGATCATATAATATGACTAAATCCCCATGATTTTCATATATAGTACTTAGTTATTTATCCTCTTGTTTTGCCTATATTATCTTGTCTTGTTTTAGTTTGTATTCCCAGTCCATGTACAGTCCTGTCCTGCCCCTGTTTAGTTAATGTTCCATTATGTATTATATACATCTTCTGGGTTTAGCTTCCTAGTTCTGTCTTGTTTTCATGTTTAGTGACTATTCTAGTCTTGCCTTGTTTCTGTACTGGATACATTCTTGCTGCAGAGCCTCCCTATTCAGCTCATGGTAGGTCTGCTTACTTTCAAGCTTCAAGTTCCTGGGATCCGCTGTAGCTGCATCAGGGTTTTGGTATGTGGATGCACAAACGCTGGTGCTCAACACCAGGGGGCTTGTGGTTATCCTGCACCAGGCCCTGATAATTCACTTCCATGCTGAAGATTCCCAACTCTCCTCAGGCACTCTGGGGTCCCAGTTTCCGTACCGCCACCCGTGACAGAGGATGAGGAGAAGGACTGCGAGATGAGAGGCCTTGTGCCCTTGAAGAAAGCTCTGCACGTGGCGCGGCCCTTCTGCCGACCAGCCCCTGAGGAAATACAGTCTCCTGACTGGAAGACCCTCTTGAGAGACAGTTGAGCCTTGCCTAGGGACGTGTAAATTGACACATGGTGGTTCAGCTCCTTTATGAAGGCATCACCAAAGAGGAGGCCATTGGCATCTGGCCCCAATTTCTTGGAGGCCAAGTCAGCCAGCTTGCCATCTAGCTTGTACAGGGCCTTGCGGCTGTCAGGATTACAAGTTGATTCAGCATGTAGAACTGTATCACACCTAGGACTAAAAGGTAACTGTGACGAAGTGCCCTTCGCCACTTGTGCCTGGAGAGGACTGCTTGCCCGCCTCTTGCCCTTTGACTATGGCCCCTGGGATGTATTGCCCTTTAAAGATATGATTTGGGCATAATGGATTTGTGTTGTGCTGCTGCTGGCCCTTTAAGAACCATCTGGGGACATACTGTGGAGTTACTGGGTGGCCACCATTTCCTGTATCAGAAGCACATGGTGAGAACAATGGATGGCGGCCATTTTAACTCACAGACACTGTTTGGACTTTTCAACACGGTGCCATCTTGCCAGTATTTGGTGCACAGAGACATCGTGCAGTGGTTTTGGACTATACAGCAGGGGACACATTATAAAGTGATTGTTTTTCATTTAGCCTGTATATGTTCTGCAGAATCTGCATTAAACTGTATTTTCCAAAGTACTGAACGGATCTGGGTGAATTTTGGATATGTGGTTCACCCAGATCCCCCGGTTCCAAGGATATACTTTTATGGGGTTATTGCATGTTTTGGGGTCCCTGTGTGTTTTATGAAACTGTATTATTTCTGGCCAGCAGATAATTGAGCTTTGTGTATTGTAGAAACTCAATTATCTAGCCTGGCCCAGAGGAGGAGTTTTGTGTTGCATAAATTGTGAGTTCTGTGTGCCAGTAAATCAGTCTTGTTCCAGCATTAAGCCTTGGCTCATGTTTGGGGGATTGGAGAAATACACTCTGGGGATTGCTGTAATCACTATACTCCCCAGTGTATGATCACTAAGTTCTGCTAAGAGCTTGTTCCTGTTCCTGCTTTCTGGGGAAAGAGAGGTTCACCCACTGGAAGCTGGATCCTGGCCTTGGGTCCAGGGTGGGTGGAGACAGCAGAGACCCCGGCGCAGTTGCATCGCTGGAAGTGGGGTCTGCAGTGCTGATAGTGTCAGTTGGAGTGCTTGGAGTCCTCAGCGAGCACTAGGAGCATCGATTGGCGGAGGTACTCAGTCGGAGTGCCAGCGTTCCGTCACAGTAACGTCTTACCGGGCCTTAGAATGGCCAGACTTAACGTACCAGAGAATAATCAGAATACTTGCCAAGGTAGGGGACACAAAATGAGACACAACTATGAGGGAAAGCCAAAAGGGACCTTCAGCTACCCAGTCAGGGGGGATCCCAGAAAAGTTTCTCTCGCGTATGGTGAGGACCGGTCCAAGAAACCCTCACCGGGAGACTCGTAACCCGAGCTGTCAGCTCAGTATTCGTCCAGTACATCATAGCCAGGTGACCCAAAACATGCGTCTTTGTCCAGGCAACTTCCAGAACAGGTACCAACTCTGGCCAGTTTCCCTTGCCACTGACAGCGCCATGACCGGTCCAAGGCCTTTTGCGCATGGAGCACACCTCCGTAGAGTAGAGGGAACCACCAGAGTCGGACCCACGAGGTGCCAGGTGTGGGTCCCACAGTAACATTAAGAGCGGCCCCTTGAAGTGAAGAAAGGTCTCTAGGTAGCGAATCCGCCAGTGCGGCACATAGCCAGGCTTGAAGACCCTCGGGTGCATGGAAACCAGAGTCGTCTGCCATGACTGATGACACTGTAATAATAGTAAGGTACAGTCAATGTGGAACCTGGGCAAGGCTGGCTGGGGGTCACTCAGCATGCGAGAGGGGTCACCCAAGCAAGCGCAAGCATATCATTCAAGTTAGGCCGTTCAAGGAGGGGGTCACCCTGAGAAAAGTCACCTAGACCTCTGGTCCAAGTGTACCATAGGAAGGGTGGTCACCCAGCCCAGAAAGTGCCACAGGCACACTAATGATGCCCAGCAAGGGCTGTGTTAGTGGGTACAGCGTCCCAGAATAAAGTACTTAAAAGGGGGTCACTGTATCAATAGGCCAGAGGCCTAGCTCCACTGTGGAGAACTTAGTCAAGGTAGGGATAAAATACCTGTGTGGAAAGAACAAGGGGGAGCCAGCAACAGAGCCAGCAGCAGTGGGGTCGCAGGGTGTGGGAGGCAAAATCAAGGCTGCCGCGGCTCCAACAAAATGTCCGCCGCGGCTGCGAAAATACAGCGTGGCCTACCTTGCGGTATCGCCGTGGAAGAGCAGCAGACTGACGCGGGTCACCACAGGGAAGCGCAGGAGGGGTGCGGCAGCACCATAAAGGTGCTGCGGGAATATATATCGCGCGGGCTGGTCAGGGGGAAGCACCAGGGGGCCTCACAATGCATTCAGCCCACGCAGACCCAAGCATGCACCACAACCCAGTATAACAGAAATACAAACAGCAATAATATATCTTACATTTAAGGATCATAGAAATAAACATGAAAGAAATAAAGCCCAGAACTCCCTGAGTTGGAGATTGCTCACCTGAAGGCAGCAGCAAAGAAAGAGGAAGTGGGAGAATCTGCCTAAGGGGTTTATACTCATGTTGTTTTGTTCTAATTGGTTGTTTTGAAAAGTTATGTAAACTATTTCTTTGCTGCTGAAGGTTTTCAGTTAAAGGACCACTATAGTGCCAGGAAAACAAACTCGTTTTCCTGGCACTATAGTGCCCTGAGGGTGCCCCAACCCTCATGGCCCCCCTCCAGCCGGGCTGAAGGGGGGGAAGGGGTTAAATCACTTACCTTTCTCCAACGCCGTGCTCCCTCGGCGCTGGGGACTCTCCTCCTCCTTTGGTTGTTATCTGCTGAATGCGCATGCGCGGCAAGAGCCTCACGCGCATTCAGCCAGTCCATAGCAAAGCATTCTCAATGCTTTCCTATGGACGCTGGCGTCTTCACAGTGAGAAGCGCAGAAGCGCCTCTAGCGGCTGTCAATGAGACAGCCACTAGAGTTTCTCTGTTTACAGCAGGCAGGGTTAACCCTCAATGGACCTGGCACCCAGACTACTTCATTAAGCGGAAATGGTCTGGGTGCCTATAGTGGTCCTTTAAGATGGTAAAGCACATGTAAAGCCTCCTGTCTTGCCTTAAAATTATGATGTGTGTAATTATAGATTTGTAAAGATAAAAAAATAAATAAAACAATTATATCTTCCATGTGTTCCGGAACTGGTGGGGCAGTCTTGCTTTTCCTGAACACTGGAGAGAATCCCATATCTCTCAATTATTGAAATTGAAATTGAAGGGTTGTGCTGTTACAGGAGAAGTGTCTGTAACACAGCTTACATCCCAGAGAGAACGTCAACAATGTTTGGGAAATTATATTTGTGAAAAAAAGTGTCAGTTGAGCTTTTTCTGCCAATGAATGAGTGTCTGTGAAAACCAATATGCACAGAATTTACATTAGCAAGCCTGGTAATATTGTTCAGGGCTGGCTAACAATGATGCTAGAGGTGGAGTTACGTGCTAAATGAGAGTTCCCAGAAGGTAGGGCTGGTTCTAACATAAGGTGGTGCAATGCCAGGTGGGAGGAGGATGCACAGAACATCTTCTTCCCTACAGTCACTCTCGCAAGTGTGACCTCACGGACCGTGTTATACAAGCTTTGTCATCCTTTACCTGGTCTGACAGGAAGCTGCTCGATCTGCTATCCTTTAGCACGTCTCTACCCCTGTAGTGATGTCACTGGATGAGGTTTGAGTTGTATGAAGAACCTGGCCTCGATGTTGGATCACAGATAAGTTTATTTTTTTTATTCTCCCTTTGTTCATTGGGGTAGCCTTTTAATAATTTTTCCTACTTACTCCTGAAATGCCAATATTAGTCTTTCTAGGATGATCACATTACCCTTCTATCCTCACAGTCACTGCATTCCCTATAAAAACCCTTCTCATATAGCATATTGGTATATTTCCCTGTGTCTACTTGCAGTCAAACAACCTAAACAATTCACACATCTTCCACACTTTTCCGGTTTTTACCTATCCCATAATGAACCCAATTCTTCGTCCCCTTGTTCAGATCAAGCTATCATCCAGGTACTTCAATTTTCAACCCCAACCCCCATCACATCATCCCTTCACATACAGGCATGGCCATACCTCCCAAGTGTCACTGTTTAGGATGGCCAGTCCCTATTTTGGACCCTGTCCCTCTTTTCTATCTTACTTTTCCTATTTTCTAGATACCCAATACTGTTAGTATGTTTGAGTGTATAACAGAGTTTGACATCAATAATAATCACAGTAATGTGTCTTTAAACTATAATAAATCTGTTTAGAAATCAACCAGTGTAAATAAGATACATTGTTCTTGTGCTAAATTACATTTTAGTTGCATAAATTGTTATTAGTAAGTCATCTAAAATTTCTGAAAGCAGCCTTGCCCGTGGCCACTCCACCACTCACACACCTAAAATAAATGTGTCCCTCTTTGTCCACTTAAAATATTGGGAAGTATGCGGAAGTTTAACTGCTAGCCCCAACCCTAACCCAATCCTCTATTCATAGTTAGCCAATGCTCAGCACTGCCATTAGGCTACATTAATCAGGCTTCCAAATAGCAATGGAGTTCACAGTTCTCCATTTAGTGAATGAGCCGCTATTATTAGAAAATCGCATATAAATCGTTTCCAGCCAATAACTGGAGAGAACTGTCCAAAACTCAGAAATGTAACATTTTTTTTAATATATATATTCTATCAAAGGACTAATTCTGTAAAACTATTTTCAGGTTGTTGGTGTTCTGTTGTCGATAAAGTTGGTTGAGAACACATCCTACAATGTGTCACATGAGGAGCTGCTCAGCTGACAGGAAGAGTTGCAGTAGCTGGCAACATGGTGAGAATGTCTGCATGAAAACTGATACAAAGGGTTCCATTTATATAAACACAGAATATTCATAATAATAGTATGATCTAGTGCGAGGAAAACAGACACATAATGAGAATAGGAAGGTTTATTTAAACACTTTTCTTAACATTCACAATGGGTGTGATGCTCTGTGCTGAATGGGGGGCTGCTCATTGTTTGTATGGGTTTGTGATGGTTTGTTTGCATGGAGAGAGATTAATTTACCATAATTTATTCAGTGGGTATGTGAAGGATTTGACAAACTTACACACCCCAAGAAAAAAAGAATTACATATTGCATTTAATAATGGCAGAATGGGATGCAGTGTAAGTAGATGTCAGCAGTAATGCTTAGTGTATACAGCTTTTCTAAGCTATGATATGTTGATTATGTTAATGTTGTGATGTTGAGAAATAGAGGGTTATGGTTGTAGATGAATTTAGTGAGATGTTCTGTTGATGGTGTTCCAGCTGCAGTATCTTTTTGTACCTTTTGAAACTCTGAGATTAACATCATTTTAAGACCAATAAAATGAGTGTTTTATGCTTGAGCATAACATCAATGTTAAGACATTCTCAAGAAGCAGCAAAAGCCAAGTGTATCTCAGATTATTTTGTAATATTTTACTGTATTGTGCATGTACAAAAAAAAGGGTGTTGGGTTAATGAATACCTCTCACAGCATCTCTTTTAAGATATATGATCCTCATATTTTACAGAACCATTGAGTTAACAACATGGTTTTTCACTTAACTGGAAACTGTGTGCAACTGACAATGGGAATTGCATATTTTTTTAGCTGATTTGGAAAAATTATTCAACTATCTTTGCAGCTTAGATATTTTTGTCTAACAATTGCAATCCTGTGAGTACATCGCAGGGGTTTCCAAAAGTTAGATCTCCAAACTACAGCTCCCTTGATGCTTTGTATGTCTTTAGAATACTTTAGAATGACAATGCATCATGGGAGTTGTAGTTTTATAACATCTGAGATCTACCTTTTGAGTACCCCTGATATATTGTATACGGTAATCATGTGCCTTTTCTCCATAATAAATTAAACCCCTGGGACACGCTATATTCATAATTGAAACATTCCATGTCTTTAATTTGTTTATTTCTCTGACCCCTTAACCAACCATAGTTGTACTGCATATGGTACCATTGTTAATAGTCATCCAACTTATTTTACAGAGGTTCCGATTTTGTGGTGATCTGGACTGCCCTGACTGGGTCCTGGCAGAAATTAGCACCCTTGCTCGAATAGTGAGTAATCCCTAATCTCATTCTCCTAGGTGGAGATTTGTCAACTTTGTGTAACCAGCACAAATATAATTATATAATAATATGTGTGCATTTCATCTTAATGGGGCACTGTTACCAATTCAATTAGATAATGTTGTTATGGTGCACAGTGTCCATTTTAATACTTAATAGGTCTTTTCAGTTGTATGCTTTTTGTTGTATTATTCATAACTCCCAAGCATTTCAATTTATTTATGTAATGCATTTGTCCACAGTCCTCTGTTAAGTTGAAGCTGATTTGTGCCCAGGTATTGAAAGAACAACTTGGAGAGAAAATTGATGTAAGTATTACCTTTGTGCTGAATTTATCCAATGTAATTTTGAATTTTATATGGAAGTAACACCCTTGTTAAACTTGTTACATTTGAAGTGAGTTCTCAAGTATCAGACTTTATTTGGGACTGTAATTTTGGAAGAAATGCTCTAGAACAGGGGTAAGACATTTTTCGGCACTCCAAATATTGTGGACTACATCTTCCATTATGCTCTTATTGTCACAATGCTGGCAAAGCATCAGGGGAGATGTCGTCCAAAACATCAGGAGTGCTGAAGGTTGCCTTACTATGCTCAGAAGAGAACATTTAACCTTTTAATTGTGGCTTCTCACTTATTCACCAACTATTCTTCCATTGTACTTTACACTGTTATCTCTACTTCTAGATCATAACTCTTGTGGCTTAATTGTTCGTAAACTAAACACGGTTTTATATGATGATTGTGTGGCTGATACCAATTTTTTTTCTTCCTAACTCACAGTATGAAAAAATCTTGAAGCTGACATCAGATGCACGGTTTGGTGAGGTTCAGCCATTTATCACCTGTTTTCTCTTCAGTGTGAACTGTGATTGTCTTTGTAATTTATAGACATCCAAAACATGTATCAAGTATCCTTCCCTCACTTCCAAATATAATATCTGTTGCTGCCACTTGAACTCTACCTTCATAGCATCTTAAATGCTAAGCTTACTAAGCTTTTAATGTGGCATCTGCGTTCTACGTGAACAACTTGGGCTGAACACTCTTCTTAGAGACTGTGTTTTTGCCAGAAGCTAAACATAGTCTGGTTCACTGAACAGTGAACAGTGCTATGTGCAAACTGGTGAACAGTACGGCTGCTATCATTTTGAAGACCAGTTCCCCTTATCCTAAGTGATGAGTGTAACTGCTTTTGGAGGAATTATTTAAAGGTAACTCTTTATTCATTGTATTTTTTTTAAATGTGCAGCACTGCCTCAGGAAGCACCTGAGGGGTGGCTAGTGGAGTTATCCCTAGGCTGTAATGTAGACTGTGTTTACAGCAAAAAGCCTCAAGGGAATGATTCTACTCAGCAGAACAAATACATTAAGCTGTAGTTGTTCTGGTGACTATAGTGTCCCTTTAAAATAATCTGTCCCCCACCCCCAACCTAACTCCTAAATCTAAATAAAACTACTCAGCCATATAACAACATGCTTTGGATTGGAGATTTGCATTTCATTGGATTGGACACTGACTAAAAATAACAAAGTACTGGACAGGGGATTGATCTTTTATTTGCTGGAGAAGCCAGTTTTCTGTATCTAATGAAAGGTAAGTTTGCATGGCTTCATTTTTGTGGAAATGCATTTATGTGCAACAATTAATAAAATGTATTTTTGGACAAAAATTCCTTTTATATTCTTTATTTTGATATTGCAGTGAGCATGACCCCCTCCACATTTCCTCTTCAGAATTCTGCTCACCTATTTATGTAACACTATTTTTATTTTTTTATGTCTGCAGAATCTGGTGACATTAAAGCCACAGTCTCAGTCCTATCCTTTATTCTGTCAAGCGCAGCCAAACATAATGTGAGCAGTGACAACTTATCCAGTGAGCTTCAGCAACTAGGTCTGCCCAAAGGTGAGAGAACTGCAGTATATCATCCTGAACCACCCATAGTAGAAAGAATAAGACTGACTTTTTAAAACACATTTTTCAATAGGTCTTTATCTTTCAACAATGCACAACGTGTATCATAATAAATTTCTATTGTAATGCAGTGAATTTATAACCTAGATAAGTGCTCGAACTTCTTCTGAATGTGTGGAGAATAAATGTGAATCTGTTAAAAATAAACATAGACACACAACTCCTAGTTTTGAATTTCATTTATTAATTCTAGAACATGCAGCATCGCTGTGTCGATCGTATGAAGATAAGCAAAGTGCTCTGCAAGAGACATTGAGGGAGAGCAGTCTACGCTGTGAGTATTGACCTGTTTGGACCTTCACATGAAGACAAAAACATTAAATATTCATCATAATTTGTATAAATGTCTAAAAAAAAAAAAAAAAAGTGCATGTTTTAACACAGGCCTGAGTAACTTCATTTTCTTTAGAAAACACTGACTGTTTATATCTTCGTGTCATGGTTTTAGATTCATGCCTTTCATTTAATATGTCGACAGTGTTTTAATATACTGCTAACACCATAACCATAATATATCGTTTTTATAAATGCTATTTACAAGCTTTCACCAACTCCATAGAGAATTAGTTAGCAGTGTTTGTTTAATGTTGTCTTTGTCCTTTCAGTGACACGCATGTCTTCATTGAGCTGGCGGGTTGACCAGACACTTGGTTCCAGTGTCCTACAGAATGTGAACGAGCCCCTTGTGCACCTTAACCTGTCATTGGCAGATGCTGACCTTCCCAGACCTGTCACTGTGACATTGTCTGCCACTAAACTGCGAGTTCTGTTGACTGGTGAGATTTACTGTGATAATACTGGGCAAGATACTAGTATAGACTTCAGTAAAATGTATATCTCCCTTGTGTCATACAGTCATCAATCAATCATTTTTATTTATTTATTTTTTATAACTTTTTTTTTTTTTATCATGGGGGTGGGCTTAGCATCTACTGCTGCTGGGAAGGTTAGGATGTCCATTTTCTAATGAATCTCTCTTTTGTTGTATGGATTCATTTGTTGGTTCCAAATTTGCAAAGTTCAAATGTAGGCAGTGTTAAGACACCCCTGGCACAAGGGAGTGAAACCGCCGTTTAGTTGAGCTTCCCCTTTCGCAATAATGCAAACTCCGTTCGTTTAGACTCCAACCGTACAAACTACAATCAGGGGAATGCGCCAATCTCCCGAACGGGACTCGTACGGGTGCTCCAACTCCTGAACGGTAAACCCTCAAATCACTGCTAACAGCTGAGTCAATATATCCTCCAAGCGGCTTACACTTCCATCAATCAGTCACTATTCGTGTGTAGTAAATTTCCCCCCAATAACGAGACCAAGCTCCGCGTTGAGGGTAAAACAAGAACTGGCTTTACTGTGGGCTACCCGCCCGTATTTATGCAGGTCTCCCACTTGGTGGACACTCCCCTAGGGGACCAAATGGGAGACTGTAATGGCAGACAGACATATAGCATGTTAGGACACACAGTCACAGAATATTCCCAGCATGCATCATGGTTTCCTCCCCTCTGCCCTGGAGATAATTGAGAAGTAATTCAATTATCTCCCAGGACAGAGGCAAATCGCCATTTTAAATGAAACATAAAAAACACATAAAAATGAGTAATTGTACAAATACCGAACATATTCCATTTGTGCAACATATCCCCAGATAGCCTGGATCTGAGTGCATGTTCTTAGCGAATAGCGCTCAGATCCCATACGCACAGTTCAATCGCCATGGAGTCAAAGTCTTTTACAGTCTTTCGGTATGCGATTGACTCCATGGTAAGGCTATCTGGGTTAAGTCCATTCATGTAGTCCAAACTCCCGAACGGCCAATGTTCACATGCCTTTGTCGACTGAGAAGGGCGATCTATGGTTTTAGCGGTGTTCGGCAGAAAAAGTGTGCGTTTTTTAGTTCCATAGAATCTGTGCCGGACACCACTGGTCTTTTGCATGGTTTAAAATGGCCACCGCCTCGTGGTCGACATACAAACGACGACCACCCTGTATTCAGTTATAATTAAGAGGTGTCTGCGGTTAACCACAACGTTCTAATTGGGATCAAGAGGTTAACCAGCAGCACACTTCTCTTCTGGGTGGCCGTCCGTTCGGGAAGTTCATTCGGTGAAAAGTGAAACAAACGAATAGGGGTATACGGACAGGTAATTCCGCGAACAGAGGCAAAACAGACGAACCAGCAATCTGTCTATACAGATGGCTCTGTCACAGGCAGAAACTGAGTGGTGTTAAATTTTAAATTCCTAAACTGCCTAAAATCTGCTCAATTTAGTATCTCTTCTAACTTTTTTTTAAAAATATATAATAAGGATGATGATGATAATAAAAGTAGTGTGTATAGCCCTTATCAGCAACCAAAGGCTCTTAATCTGACCTAAACACCTGATATTTAGCAGACCGTGGAGTAGATTATTTTTGCTGTACTGGGAAAACACTCTTGGGTTACGTCACTAAAAAATAGCCACACTTTGACCATAAAAAAAGGCTTGAGGTGGAGAATATGGCCTAAAATCGGGAAAATCTGACAATAGCCAGTTAAGTGGATAACACCAAATGTATCTTGATTAATGTTTTAAGATAAATGTAAAATTAACCGTTACTAATGTTACTGTTGCTTATATTGTTATTAAAGAAACACTCCAAGCACCATAAACACATAGTGCAATGTAGTACTTATGGTACCTAGAGATTCCTGGTGCTCAGTGCTCCCTAGATATAAAAAATAAATAAAACGTGGGTAAACAATTTGACTACTTGGGGGGAGGGGCTGGGCATACCTGGCACCACAACTACTACAGTGTTTTGTCAGAGTGTTTCTTAAATACTGATTTGTACATAATGCAACAATTTTAAACAGTCTCTGCATAAATAAACTTTGTTCTTTGTTTGCAGAGCTGAAACAAGCCCTGGAAATGATGAATGCCTTGAACTGATCCAGAGGAATTTGCTGCCCGTTCTGTGCAAAATAATATTTGTAAAGCAATATCAGATTCTAATGACTCCAACAGAGAGAGACTTTGAGAATAACTGAACAGAACCTTTACCAAGGCTCATCAGAAAAGCAAGAGACTCCTTTTCACAAAGCTCTTCCACGCAGTGCAGTATTCATGGTATGGAGCTGTACAACGCATTAACTCTTTGTACTGCTCACTGAATAGGTCCTTGTGAAGAATGGTGTGGCATTACAAGTCAGTAGCTGCAGTCTTTTGTTTTCTTGGAAGATGTCCCACCAAGTCTGTAATCCTTAGCTGAAGGATTGAACAAATCATATGGCCGCATTGCGTATCCAATACAGACCTAAGCTCCATCGTCTTGTGCATTCTTGGAAATTTCAAGAGTTGTTTCAGGCATATGAACATTCCTTCCATATATGTGTCATTATATACATCTGGTATACATTTCTATATATTATACCACTAGTGCAGGGATATTGGTATAGATTATCTTTATTCCTCAATGTTCATTCCATTGAGTGAATTTATATATATAATTAAAATAGTTAATTTGATCACACAAACTGTTTCTATATATACATAACTATACATTTCTAATACTGGCTTGCGATATGTCTTTGTGTAAATAAAAACCATATTCGTAGATCCTTTTGTTTGTGTGCTCTGATTGCAGTGATTATGTATCAGAGGATCAGGTCTATAGGCAATTTAATTTGCATTAAAAGAGGAGGTATAAGGTTTGTTTTCACAATGCTTATTGGTTCTCTGTCAGAAAGTACTGGAGTCTTGGCTTTCCCTTTTAACACAAAATGTAAGATTAAAGGACCACTCTAGGCACCCAGACCACTTCAGCTTAATGAAGTGGTCTGGGTGCCAGGTCCCTCTAGGATTAACCCTTTTTTATTTTTTTTTATAAACATAGTTTCAGAGAAACTGCTATGTGTAGAATTGGGTTAATCCAGCCTCTAAAGCCTCTAGTGGCTGTCTCATTGACAGCCGCTAGAGGTGTTTGCGTGCTTCTCACTGTGAAAATCACTGTGAGAAGACGCCAGCGTCCATAGGAAAGCATTATGAATGCTTTCCTATGAGACTGGCTGAATGTGCGTGCAGCTCCTGCTGCGCATTCAGCCGAAGAGGAGGATCGGAGGCGGAGAAGAGCTCCCCGCCCGGCGCTGGAAAAAAGGTAAGATTTAACCCTTTCCTCGCCATCCAGCCCGGCGGGAGGGGGAACCTTGAGGGTGGGGGCACCCTCAGGGCACTATACTGCCAGTAAAACGAGTATGTTTTCCTGGCACTATAGTGGTCCTTTAACTGCTGACTGAGTTGGCACAGCACAAATGACCCACCATGGCTGTTTTGTCTTCAGGATATTCTTTTATTCACTGAATGGGAAATGGTGGAAGCTGGCAAACTAAGGCCCAGATGAAATGAGCTTCCCAGATGATTCAATACTGTTAGAAAGAAAAAAATCCAAATATTGTATCTACAGAAGTCCTCATTAATGTCTATGGGGAATTTTTGTGAATACATAATTTGAAAAGTTTCCTAACAATATTGAATCATTTGGAAAGCTTTATTAAATAAAGGCCTAAATTGGTAAAAAATCTCCAACTGATCTTTTTCCACCTCAACTATTCTGGGCTACAATGTTCACTTCCCTTGTCAATCTCCACAATCACTGGTTGCATGAATAAACGGATTTGATGTGCTTGTTAATACAATGGAAAACTGAGAATTGTGTGTAACGGATCCCCTATACTCCGACTGAGTATATCCAATGTGATTCTCCCAATTCCCAAGCGAAGCAGTGATTAGAGCTCTTGGCTTCCCAAACATCAGCCGAGACTGTAAGAAGGGTACAACAGGAATCGGTTTATTGAAGGCCAGGTACACGGTATTTATGCACAGATCCCTGCAGGGGGTCTCTAGCCACAGTAATGTCAAACATAAACTTGCCCAGTCGTCGCTGTGTCTGGGGGATAATGTTATCCCCCAGGCACAGGAAGCTGACACACAAAAACCCCACAAATACACAAAACATAGTAATGCACCCCCACGTGTCCTGCATCCCTGGATAGCTCATGGTCCAAGCTATGCTCCCTGCACATTTCGGAGTGATCAAATGTACAGAACCTAAGAAATCATTGTGTAAAGTCTGGGCTCCAGGCTCTGTACATACCCGAAAACAGTTCCACAAGACCACTTGGTTTAGGCTGGAAAAAGGGAGCAAACCAAACACGTATCGGCCAATCAGCATTCACGGAGGGGAGGTGTTTGAATGGTAGCTCTTCTCACATTAGGCGGCACGGACTCTGCGGTTGTGAATCCGTCTGCTAGTTGCAGAGTGTCGGCTAGGGCTCTCCTTGGTGGATGTCTCCACCTGGGTAGCAGCAGGGAGAGTGCTCTTTGGGGGGGGACAGTTCGTTACATTGGGTATTATGTTGGCAGTCGTTCCTGCAGTACAAATAAGTTATTATAGTAACAAGGGAGACCCACACAAAATGCAGACTGAAGGGTACATCCAGTGTGTTTCACAATTCAGAATCACATACTGTTTGGAATGATATGTTTTAGTATGGTTATGGAGTAATGAGCCTGTCATTATGCCAAAAAATTGACTTTGAAATCTTTTACAGAGCTGTTCCTACACACTCCTTCACAATGCATTGTAATAAATGTATGATTTAATAACTTAATGAGGCTATCTTGAAGAAAAATGCGAACCCGGGTTTTCATTAAAGGTAACGAGGCAAAATTAGTCGTTTGAGCTACGAATATAAGGAGTAATCACTAAAAGGTGTATTTCTGACATTAAATTTGGAATTTCCAGGTTAATTCTTGACAATGCAGCTGTGGGACGCAGTTAACTCACACAGACAGGATTACTTACTAAAGTGAGAATTAAAAGTGAATTTCAAATTTAAGGTCAAACTAGCCGAACTAAGAAGGAAACATGGTTTCAGATGAGCTACTTTAGCCTTAAATTTAAAATTCATTTTGAATCCTCACTCTAGTGTATAACCCCGAGCACTGCCATTTTAATGATTTTACTCCAAATGAGTTGACCCGACCAAAGATAATTTTGCGTTGACGTCAACTCGTTCTGAGACGCTAATGGCTCATGTACATAGTGATGGGTTGTGGTGTCATCACAATAATGAATGCACTGCTAGGCAAACCATTGATTGATGATGCATACTCCCAACATGACGGTCATTGAAATGGCAATGTTTAGGGAGAAAATGCCACAGACGTTTACTGTTTTTAATTGATTAAAAAAGTTGAACAAAACCATAACTTGCAGGGCTATTCCAAAACCTTTCTTTCAGCTCTGTTAAAATTGAAATTCAACTCGGGACAGTTCCCAGTTTAGTGAACTGCATTCAAGTCAAGAAGTACTGGTGTTGAGGTGTGCACATTCTTTTCATAAGAAAAATCCAAGAATTGACACGTGACAAAAAAAAACCAGTTCGGGTATTATGGAACTATTGTAACACTTAGATATTTTAAGTTTGTCTGTAAGGTTTGTCACAAGCACATTTTTTTTTTTAAATTCATAGCAAAAAGGCAGCCATTACTTTAGTTACTTTCACAAAAAAAATTTTTTATAAAATGTTTGGTAATAATAGCCACCCTTAAAACATTATCCAGATTTCACTGTTTTTTTTTTTAATTCAACTGTGATAGTTCCTTGGCAGTAACACAATTGTGTAACTATTTAGTAAATATGCCCCATCTTCAAGTGCAGTGTACCTTTTACAGACATGATCTAATTTTCCTCTCTGCACCATACTTGCCCTTTGCAGTTTATTAGTAATTTCCCTCCACTATCTCTCCTTCCTGTACAAACATCCCCATTCCATCTCTGGAGCCTGTTTACTAAATGATAAATAGCAAAGTTCAGAGGATTCCAGTCACTCTATGTAACGCCCCCTATCAGAGCCCGGCCAATAGGAGAGCGGTATAGGAGCAACAGGAGGAAGAGGAGAGTCCAGGTGACAGTGGAACCTGCGATAATTAACGCCGTGTCGGTAAGCTGATAGTGAATAGCTCGCCAGTAACTGTAAGGGCTATAACCAGCTCTAGGTGTTATACTACGATCTGAGAGCAGACCTGCGTGCTGTGAGTTGCAGTCCTGGCTGCCTGCCTGCTTGCTTTGCCCACCTTTAGGAGAAGCCTAGCATTTAGTGTGTTATGTACTAATAAATTCATTTTATAATGGCCTGTCTGCTGCCTCTAACACCCAGTGTTGAAATAATGACACTGTGTCACTTCATGTAAGAGGATCATTTGCTGCCTATTTCTAGAGTGCGAGATAGAATATCATTTACATTTTTAGCAGGGTCTCAATTTATTTGCAAAATTTTAACTTGGTGATTGAGGCTTCCATTGTAAAATTGAAGGAGTCTGGAGGGACCCAGTCTTTTTTTATTATTTAATTATTTTTTTTACAACAGTCAAATTCTAAAGCACTTTCTTTACCCTAAAATAGCCTCCATTGTACAGGCTAAAGCAGTACCTGAGGCCTAGATATAGATGATTTTTATTTCCAACCATAAGGGACCCACTGTATGAGGACCAAAACTTGACCCAGGGGTTAAAAAAAAAAAAAAAATAGACTAGAGTTTTACCTACTGTTAATGGAACTTCTCTTTAATATTATCTTTTTTTCACTTTCAGATTCTATTTACTAGAAAGAACCCGTGGGGTTGACCAAATTCCCACTGGAAGTGTTTTTTGTAAATATGGAAATTGCCAGTTTAGGCCTCAATTTAATATTTTTGGCTAAGCGTTTCAAAAAAAATATTTTAATGTTGTGGTATTTTTCATATGTTGATAATTTTTATATATATTATATTTTTTGATTTTTGTAATATTTTAAAAATCATAAAACATTTTAAAAGTTTATCCAAAAACATTAAATTATTTGAAACGCCTATCCAAAACTATGAATTCAAGGCCCTTCTCGGAATGTAGCCATTTTTATCAAATTTTCAATCTAGACAAAATTAAGGATGAAGAAAATTGTTCAAAACATAAAATATATACACAGATGCATGCTCAAGAGTATAGCATTGAGCTCTTTTGAGAATTCCACGAGATCCTCCATAGACAGCGCCAATTCCCTGCAGCCGTCATTGGTGATAGCTGGGGGGGGATTGTCACTTCTAGAACTTTTTAGACAGTGTTGTCGAACGTTCTAGACAACATTAGGGCGTTCCTTGTTATCCTAACTGTATTAAAGCCCTCTATAGTTTGGACGGCATGGAATGTCGTTAAGGGATTAATAAAAAAAAGACCTGTCTGTATGTGGGTGATGAGGGGATACAATTAGAGGGTTCTGGACATGTGAGGTATTCTCAAGATAAGAAAAGGAAATGCATTTATTTTAAAGAACTTTCAATAAATGCACTAGTTACATAGAACTTATCATGGAGCTTGAACATTAGTTTTGATATATTGGAAATCCCATGTAAAATTCCAGTTTTAGGATCTATTAATTAAACTCCTAGTTGTGGTAAATTAGTGAATAGAAAATTTATTGCAAAATTTCACAAAAAATACTGAACTTTCTTAAACAGCGATGTAGTCTGACAAAATCAAATAAGAAGTGGAGCAATATTTGGAAGAGGTGCCCCACCACCCTAAGTGATACAAATTAAAGTAGCTGAAGTTACCAGTCGTTGGCGATACCCAATACGTAGATCATATAATCTACACGGAAAAATGCAACAATAATAGTGTAGATCCGGTAGTTAGATCAAATGGAGTAAGTAAAATATATATAGTCTAACATTTATTTGGACATAAAAAGTATTTAAAAACAGAGATTCAGTTACGGTAATAATAAAACAGAGAAAACTACAAATGGGGTGAGCAGCAGCTTACAAGCTTAAGTGGTGAGTATGGCGGTACATGTACCCGCTACTCACGACTAGGCTCCTGAGGTCGTCCTAGCTCTCACACTCCCATGCGTTATGATCGAGGCTTCAGCTTCCCAAGTGCCGTTTGCGTTTCGCGGCTTTCAGTTTAATCCTCTGCTTCTTTCCCCTGAGATTGGCTATGTAACTGAAGTTTGGTTTCTAGTTCACTTTTTGGTCCTTGTTGAATAAACAGAATTACTCTTTCTTTTCAAATAGTTATTATTAAATAATTTTTCAAAATTTTATATTAAACCACTATAATAATTTCTGATAAAATAGTTGGATCTTCTCTCTCAAAAATGGCAATAGGCTGGTGTAAATGTATATTAAGAAAACGACTTACAAGTTTCAGGTTTTGGTTTTTCCTTTACCAAGTGGGTCCGAATAATCTATACTAGAAAGAACCACTAATGTTAAACATAATTATATATTTTTTGTTAACATTAGATTGTTGAAGTACATTGGAATAGGTGACATTTTACATTTTCAGGAAATAGAAAAAGAATTTATAACCGCAAATGATCAACATTGTGCGTTATTGTTATTTGTTTACTATTAAATAGTTTTGAGATAGCTGTAGATAAGACTATTCACTCTTTGAATGCCTGGGTTGTATAACGTGCTCTGAGTTTAATTTCAGAAGGATGTCCACTCACTTGTGCCCTTTTTTTAAGTCTTTTTAGAAAATGCCAGAATGTCCAGAGCTCCATCTTGCCAGCGTATATATTAACGCCAGATGTGCCGGACGGCGTTTCACAGGAGCAGTTGAGAAATCAGAGGTTAACAAGAATGCAGAGGTGCCTTTCTCCTGCCCAGAGTATACTATCAGTGCCGTCTCTCGTGGGAAGGAGTTGAAGGTAATCCTTACTCCATTGTCAGGAAGACATCATGTCACCCACATTGTCTTCCGATTCGGTATGTCAGGCAGTATCACCATGAAGAATGTAAGTGAAATGCCCAAACATGCCCACTTACGTTTCTACACCAAAGATGTTCCTCGCCAAGTACTCTGCTTTGTGGATCCCCGGAGATTTGGATCATGGCATGTGAATGGTTCGTGGCAGTCAGAACGTGGCCCATGCGTGATACAGGAATACGAACAATTCAGGTGTGAATTATATTATGAAAATTTTTTTTTTTTTTTTGTGTGTGTAGTATATAGGGATACTAGTCCACTTTATGATGTAAAATCCATCCATGTCTGTGTATACTATCCAGGTTATTAACTAAAGTGTGAATTATTAAAAATTCTAAGCAAATTTATGGAACAATAAGCCAAGTCAATTAATATTCACGTTCAACTACTTTGATATTAAAGGGACTCTCCAGTGCCAGGAAAACATATCCGTTTTCCTGGCACTGCAGGACCTTGCAGCTCCCCTCTACCTCCCAACCCCCATCCCATGTTGCTGAAGGGGTTAAAACCTGAATCCAACACTGATGTCCCTTGGCGCTGGGTAAGGCTCCGCCCACACTCTCCCCCACCGATGTCGGCCGGCGGGGAGTCCTAATGCGGCAATGGCCGTGCGCGCATTAGACCTCCCCATAGGAAAGCATTATTCCGGCGACGCTGGAGGTCCTCATGTATGGCGTGAGGACGTCCAGCGTCGTTTAAAACACTTTTCGTGTTCTAAAAACACGTTAGTCCCTTTAGTGGCTATCTGATAGACAGCCACTAGAGGAGGACTTAACCTTGCAAGGTAATTATTGCAGTTTATAAAAACTGCAATAATTACACTTGCAGGGTTAAGGGTGGTGGGAGTTGGCACCCAGACCACTCCAATCAGCAGAAGTGGTCTGGTTGCCTGGAGTGTCCCTTTAAATTTGAAATTCACTTTGAATTCCTAATATTTCTCATTCTAGTAAGTGACCCTGTAAATTACAATACAGAAATACTGGGGAAAATGTTTCTCGTGAATCAGAATTAATCTATTACTAGTGTGAGTAGAATAGTACACTAGAGCTAGGTGTAGTCTGTTTTTTTTTTTTTGTTTTTTTTTTCTTTTCAATGGTGTTTATATGTATATCTGTCTGACGGTCATTCTTTAAAATCAGAAAATAATTCTAAGACTAACCATGCATTTTACACAGATTGGCAAACCTGTTTTTCCAACTCATTTTCTCAGCACAAAGAACTCGAACTGCACCTAAGGATTTGCTTATAAACCAAAATTACCTTTAACTCTTATATATATTTTGTACATAGTCTCCCTCAGCATATGTACGTTCGTCACAAAAACCTTTGAAGCACTGCCTAGTTTAGATGTCTGCAATTGCCAATTGTCCAAGATGTATAGTTCACCTCCCCCCCCAAACAATGCTCTGTTGTCTTTGTTGTACTTACAGAGCAGCAGGCTTTCTGATATTGACATTTAGTAACCTTTAGTTCTCAAGGCTGATTTATATCATGTATCCAGGCGATATATACATTTACACTCATATCCACCATGCTCTAGTGCAGGGGTAGGCAACCTTTTAGCAGCACTGTGCCGATATAGGATTGTGATGTCCCGTAGCGTGCCGGTCCTATTTTTTTTAAATTGAGGTGTGTATGCTGCCGTATTCTGCTTGTGTTATTTTTACTGTAATTGCTTTGTATTGTATTTGTGCGAATATGAGCTATTATATTGTATATGTTCATGAGTAGTTTATGGTATTGTGTATGATACACATGAATGTGGGCTGTGTATGGGGGTACCTTGAGGAATTGTGTGTGTGGATGGATATGTCACATTGTGTGTTTGGTAGTGTGTGGGGGCTGTTTGGGGTATTGCATGTAAGAGGCTGCATGTGGGGTTGTGTGCATGTATGTGGATTGTTAGTGGTGTTGCATTTGTGCGGATTGTGTGTATGTTTGTGTGTGGGCTGTCCGCATTATTTGTATGATGGGAGGGTTATTCTGCATTTCTGTGTAGATCTAGCAGTGTGGGTGGCTTCCCTGGGTTCCAGTGGGGACCAGGCCAGCCAGGTACAGGCCAAGGACAGGAGCTGCAACAACAACTGCGAGCTGCTCTAATACTGTGTGGATTCCCATTCACAAGTGCTGGAATGAAGTGCTCTGAGATCATTTCCCGTACGTGCTGCAATGCATAAATTGAGGATTGTCCTTCACCACCTCTTTGTATTAGCACATTCTGAAGCCTTGAGTGCCGTGCAAAGGCGCCTTGAGTGCCGTGCAAAGGCGCCTTGAGTGCCGTGCATGGCACTAGTGCCGTAGGTTGCCTACCCCTGCTCTAGTGCCTGGTGGTGTGTACATCTGACATGTATACATTGCCTGATAGAGTACCCGCTGTGACAGATGGATGAAAGAAAGGATTTAGAGAAGAAATGAGGGACTGAAAAATACTATATTTGCTCAATTGCCAGTAAGAACAATGCAAACTAGATTAAAACATGTCATAATCTTATTTGCTAAATGCTCATCCTAAGAGAATATGGTTAATTAACAAGTACTTTGCTTCTAAATGAAGTTTAAAGGATCACTATAGTGTCAGGAAAACAATCCGGTTCCCCCACCCTCAGGGTCCCATTCCTGTGGTACTGAAGGGGTTAAAACCCCTTCAGTTACTCACCTTATTCCACTGCCGGGCTCCCTTACCTCTCCTGCCCTGCCAACGTCAGCTCCCAGTCTGACGTCAGCGGAGCGGAATGCACATGCGTGGCAGTGCCGCGCGCGCATTCAAAGTGTATATAGGAAAGCATTTTTCAATGTTTTCCTATGGACGCTCTGCGCGATGGAGGCATAATATGCCTCCAGCGTCACAGATGCGCCTCTAGTGGCTGTCCGGAAGACAGCCACTAGAGGCTGGCTTAACCCCAAATGTAAACATAGCAGTTTCTCTGAAACTGCTGATTACAGCAGGCAGGGTTAACCCTAGAGGGACCTGGCACCCAGACCACTTCATTAAAGGACCACTCTAGGCACCCAGACCACTTCAGCTTAATGAAGTGGTCTGGGTGCCAGATCCTTCTAGGGTTAACCCATTTTTTCATAAACATAGCAGTTTCAGAGAAACTGCTATGTTTGTGAATGGGTTAAGCCTTCCCCTATTTCCTCTAGTGGCTGTCTCATTGACAGCCGCTAGAGGCGCTTGCGTGCTTCTCACTATGATTTTCACAGTGAGGGCACACCAGCGTCCATAGGAAAGCATTATGAATGCTTTCCTATGTGACCGGCTGAATGCGCGCGCAGCTCTTGCGCATTCAGCCGACGGGGAGGAGAGAAGGAGGATCGGAGGAGGAGAGCTCCCCGTGAAAAAAGTTTAAACCCCTTTCCCCCTTCCAGAGCCGGGCGGGAGGGGGACCCTGACGGTGGGGGCACCCTCAGGGCACTATAGTGCCAGTTTTCCTGGCACTATAGTGGTCCTTTAAGCTGAAGTGGTCTGGGTGACTATAGTGTCCCTTTAAAAGAACACTCCAATCATCATAACTACTACAGCATGTTGTTGTGGTTATGGTACCAAAAGTGCTCTGTGCCACTCAGTGTAACTTGTCACACTTTTTAAGGATAGTTCTGACTTCTTAATAGGGCTCTGCACGATGCCTCTACTCGCATCTACTATACTGTATAGGAAAACCAGTGTCTTTCTGTCAGAACTAAAGTCTAAGTCAGACCTGGCAGTGCAGAGATTAGCTCATTGGCTGAGAGTGATCAGCTGACTCTCTCAGCCAATTAACTAGCGCTACACTGCAGAGCTTAATTTAGGAGAGCTAACGAAAACTCTTGAGCAGGAACTTCTTTCTTTCCTGGTAGCTGAGAGAATAAGGGTGCCCAGTGGACCCCAGGTAAGAAGTCAAAACATTCTAAAACGATTTCACTGCTTACAAAGGGGTGACACCAGGCCATTCGTGGCACCATAACCACTACATTGTGCTTTAGTGGTTATTGTGCTTGGAATGTCCATTAAAGCTTTTGCTTCCTTAATATCATATGTTCTTTGAAGCACTGTTTTCTTACTGTTTGTTTTTTTTTCTCATTTCTGTTCAGGGAAAATGTTTTGAAAAACTTGTCAGACAAAGTTTTTGATAAACCGATCTGTGAGGCTTTACTGAATCAGAAATATTTCAATGGTATTGGGAACTACTTAAGATCAGAGATTCTATTCCGGTGAGTTCCAAACTATGTAAAAACAAACAAACATACATTTGTGCGAGGGGAAATAATCTTGGACTGAAAGTGGTAAAGAAGGGCAGCGTTAATATGGAATACTCTACCTTGTCCTATCAGACATTCCTCTAATCTCTGGTCCTTTTAGACATCCCTTAAGACTCATGTCTTTAGAAAAGCTTATCTATCTATGCTCCCGCAGTCCACCTCACTCTCTCACTCTATACAGTATCTCTCACACACCATTTCCTACCTGTCAACCTGTTCTTCCCTCTGTCACATAGTTGTTCGCCTTGCGTTCTTTTACTTCACTTACTCCTATATTGTAAGTTTCTTTGAGCAGAGCCCTCTTCAACTCTTATTTCTGTTGCCCTTAATTTGTTTGTCATTTACTTGCAATGTGATATCCTCATTGAATAGTTCAGGCAGAATGTGTTGGCTCTTTATAATGATCCTGATAGTCAGCGAGGAAATTTTTCACATTACTACGAGGAGCTCAGCTTACATGCCTCTCAGCTACTCTCAGAGCCTCGCAGTCCAACTCAAGGACACATCGATGTCTATCTACCTGAACAAAACTGAAAAAACTGTGTTTAGTTACATTACATCTTCATTTAAATGCTGCTCAAAAATGAAGGGATCAAACAGCAGTGCCATAAGAGGTAAAAATTATTTCTTACAACTCTATTGTCACGTACTAAAATCCAAAGAAAGATATATTTGTGGCACGTGACAAGTTGGGTTTACACATGCACAAGTCCCATTTATCTGCAAAACTATGTTCAAACTCGTGACAAGTGTTTTATTTTTTTTGTCGTCTTTTTGAATTTCTATCATTCCCTAACCTTATGAATTCTGACCTTTTAAAATATTTGACAGCATTATCTGTAGGATGCATGCCGTCTTTTGATGCCACCTGTAGGCACTTCCTGTCCCTTCTTTCGCTCTCCCTTTCCATTCAGTTGTGAGTTCTTATCGTCCGTGTCATTATTATGTATGTGTCATTTCCAGGTCACAGACCCCCCCCTTTATGCAAGCTCGCCCTGTGTTGGAAGCTGTGAAGCACATGGATGAGGTTTGGTCAATCAGTATGGAATATGATCTAATGCACAGTGTTAAATCTATAATTTTATATATAGTCTTTGGAAATTTTAAAGAGACACTTTAAGCAACAAAACTACCACAACTTTTTTAGTGGTTTTGGCATCTATATGCTTTTTCTGCACAAATGTAGGTGTTACTGTTTGTGAGTAAAGGCACTGTTAAAATTTGTCTGCTACTGTGTCTCTCGTGGCTGATTGATTGACACTTGAAGACTGTAAAATCTCTCTGAATCTGAAAGGCACCAGTAAAAAAAACTCTTATGTTATAAATTCTCTTATGTTTTATATATCTATATCTATATATATCCTGACTAAAAGTCTCCATAACAAAAGAGTCTCCATTTTTGTTAAGATTTGTTTAGTATGTCATTGGCCCTTAATGAGTTAAATCACACTTGAGGAAAATAATTCCATTTATTCTCCGATCACTTGGAGTGTGAGTAAAAATGAACTCTTCCGCCCATTGGATAGTAGTGTAGCCATATAAACTTTTTTAAAGTTACATTTTGTGAAGATTATTTTCTCTTGTGCTCTGAAACTAGCGAATTAAAGAAACCCTCCATACACCGTAACTATTATAACTACCATAACTATTTTAGCTTGCATTGCAGGGCTTAGCCTAGGAGAGCTAACAGAAGTTCCTACTGAAGAACCTACAGCTCTCTGGAGATTGTAGTGGAGTAGTGGAGAAGCAGCAAGCAAGCCCCAGGTGTGAAGTCAAACTTTTCAAAAGTGGTTTGACTCCTTACGGTGGGGGCAAAGGAGACAACGGGTCACTACTTGCATGTAACCACTACAGTAAGTTGCAGTATGTAACTAGCAAATGTTCTCTAAAATATTGTCTTATTTGCATTCTCCTCTCTTTACAGGGCAATGACCTCCCTCTCCGTAAGAAAGTAAAGATAAAGAAGGAATCTCCAGATATACTGGAACTATGTTCTTTGTTGCCTAAAGAAGTTGTCAATCTAGGTATGAAAATAATCCGAGCAAATACGAAACAGTCACATTTTCTTTCGCTAGCTAAAAGTTATCATGCAGGAAATTAAGCTATAACTGTGAGGTTTTCCTGAAATATAAGCTGGGTAACCACCATAATAAAAGAATGGAAATATCTTAAGCAGAAAAAAAATAGTATAACAGAAAAAAATAAAACAACATTTTTACTATTTTATTGATAAAAGGAAAAACAATATCAGGGTAAGTATTGTAGAAGGTATAAAGGTATTAAAGTCCTATCCCCAGACAGTAATTTATAGAATTATCAAAATCATTATGGAAGAGAAAAATTGTGGTGTTGAAACAAAAACAATCACTGGGTGGCAGTATAGAGTTAGTTTAACCCAAATGTGGTAAATCACTACAAATTGTAGATTATGTTAGCTTTACTGTTTTAAAATTTTAAAGGGACACTACAGTCACCAAAACAACTTTAGCTTCATGAAGCAGTTTTGGTGTATATACCATTCCCCTGCAGTCTCAATGCTCAATTCTCTGCCATTTAGGAGTTGAATCACTTTGTTTATGCAGCCCTAGACACACGTCCCTGCATGTGACTTACTTACACAGCCTTCCTAAACATTTCCTGTAAAGAGTCATCTAATGTTTACTCTTTATTGCACAGTCTGTTTAATTTAGAATTTCTTACTTTATACACTGTTAATAGATGCTAGACCTTGCAGGAGACTCCTGTGTGTGATTAAAGTGCAATTTACAGAGTTAAAATGTAACTATTTAAATGTTGACTGGATTCATAGCATATTTTGTGGAGCAAACAAAAACATTCAGATCGTGGAAATCTAAATAGATTGTATAAAATATCTATAATAAAATCTTTATTTTGAATTTATTCATTTATTTTTTGTAGGAGGAAAGGGATATGAGCCGGGACAGTCCAATGATTATTCTATATTGCTTAACTGGGCTCGTTGCTACTTTGTTCCTGGAATGAAATCTCTAAAAGATCACAATGGACGTACAGTCTGGTTTCAGGTATGGTAATGTAAAGAATGAGGAAAAGCTTTCAAGGAATCCCCTAACATTAAAAGTTATTTATTTTTTAACTTTGGAATATTCCTTTTTTAGATTAAAGTACTGCCTACTACTGTTAGTATTAACACAGACCTAGTCCTTGGTATAATATGGCTGCCATAATGTGGTTCATTTTAGCAGCTCCCAAGGCATTAATTATATAATTAATCTTTGTGATTCATTGTATATTTCATTGGTTTAGGAGCTGTTGTACTTAGCTGCTACCTCTCGTTGCAGCACTGCCATTCTTGGATGTCTGTGTAAAACTATTGTAACATCCACCTACCACTGCTGCCCCTTCTCTTCTTCAATTGATTCTGCTTAAAGAGACACTATAGTCACCAAAACAACTTTTGCTTAATGAAGCAGTTTTGGTGTATAGATCATGCCCCTGCAGTCTAACTGCTCAATTCTCTGCCATTTAGAAGGCTGTATGTGACCTACACAGCCTTCCTAAACACTTCCTGCAAAGAGTCATCTAATGTTTACACTTTCTTTATTGCAAATTCTGTTTAATTTAGTATATTTTATCTCCTGCTCTGTTAATTGTCTTATAGACCCTGCAGGAGCCTCCTGTATGTAATTCAAGTTCAATTTAGAAAGCAGGAGATAACTTTTAAAGTAAGTAACATCTGATTAAAAGTGAGCCAAGGCTGCTTAAACAGAAACAAAAGTGATTTAACTCCTAAATAGCAGAGAATTGAGCAGTGACACTTCAGAGGCATGATGTATACACCCACACGTGTTTTCCCTGTATCTGGCTCCTCAGGTTAGACCCTCTGTGCTGCAGGTATAGAAATATATGACAAGGATCGTTTGATAGGTAAGGGAGGCGCCAACATTTAAGCGCATTCATTCTTCTAGCACAATGTATAGATTAAATTTAATGCTCTTTAATCTAAGCCCAAATGTGTGGTACCTTGACTGTGGCGGACCATCATAGTATCGCCGCCAAGGGTTCCCGTTCCCGTGGTATTATAGCTCCTTCCAGACGAAGTAGTGAATTTACCTGGTATAGCTTTCCCCCCATACATTAATTGAGACTTAATGCTGGGAGTAGATCTGTTTTTTTTTTTTAGGTTCATCACAGTAATTTATACACGTACCCCCAGCATGGGGTCTCTATTCACAATACAGTGATCCCGCCCTGGTGCCTCTTAGTCTGGGAGATACTTGAGTTGCAGGTCTCTAAACTAATTATCTCTCGGACACAGAGAGCACAACACAAAAACACCCACAAAAAAATCATAAAAGCATACAGGAATCCCACAAAATATATTTCCCTCGATAGCTCTTATCCAAGCGCCCATGTTGGCAAAATAGTGCCTGGATCTTTGAAGAAGTGACAAATCACCACGAGGGTAATGTTTTGACCGACCGCACACGTGGTCCATTCCCAAAAGAATTCCAGAGCAATTAGTGCTTTAGCCGGTCAAATGTCGGGGGTTCCTGTGAATGAAGTAAGGGCCGCTTCTCCTGGCTCTCAGGTAGCTATTGTTCCACATAGTCTGAGGCACCTTCCCTCTAAAAAGCGCTCTTATACCTGGTGTGGAAATAGGGGAAAACTGAAGTGGAAATTGGGTTGGCTTGGGAATAGCCGCGACTAGACCAGCGTTTCAGACTAATTTTACATAAGTTCTGGTACGGTCTTTGCGGCTCCCTGGACTTCGTTTACAATCAGAAGAAGGGCGTTCCAGGGCAGTTAGTTTGAGGGGAAGGTGGAGGGAAAACAGTCTTTTGGGTGACGAAATACGGAAAAAGTCCACAAAATAAGGATGATTTGTCACAGTGAAAAGTACACTTTAATTAAATTACCCGGTATTAGCAGGATGTGAGCATATCTATAGATAAAGAAAACCAATCATCTTGGAAAGCACCAGTTGCTGCAGCAGCTATAAGGCTGGGCCTCACTCAGATGTCATAGGAATAAGGTAAGCTTCCCCTTGCCCATCCAAATACTTACAAGCTAGTGTCACTAGCTTATTCATAAAAGTATGAAGGAGCCAAGGCTTAAAATTTCAAGTCTTACTCCACTAGCCAGGCTTTAAAAGTTTCCTGCCACTGCAGTCTGGGAGGGTACATGTCACAATCACCATGGGGGAATTTATATTTGTCAGGGGTGACATTTCACTCCCCAATGGCTACTGGCGTATGAAAATTGTGAGCTCTGATTTGAGCTATTAGTAAGCAGGCAGCAGTTCACTAAAAAACATGTTTCCATGTATTTATGGGGTGGCACATTCACATTGTGACGATTGAGTAGGTTGTACAGTTCTAAATGAAAGACCACATGCTGAAATCCTCTGTCTCATTTCAGGGGGATCCTGGACCACTTGCTCCAAAAGGTGAGTCACTTTATTGTGTAATAAAACTAACCCAGTATGTGGAGAGTGTGGGCGTATGTGTATATCAGATCATTTTCATCACCTGCTCTTTAGTTTCTCTGTGTTCTCTCTGGAGCTCCCAGTCCAGTGCTGATTATAGACCCTTGTGTCTGCTGTCATCTATTTTGCGCATGTCACCTATTTTGACTTCTTGATCCATTGAATTTTATCATTCTGCCCAAAAATGTGTATATGTTTCTCTTACTGGTTTGATATTAATACTAACCGTATTTACTATCTGCTGCTTTTCCCATATCTATTCCTCTTTTTGTTTTCTTTACCAGTTACTTATGCATACCATCAGCTTTTGTTATGTTTGATTAAATTCTTTACACATTACTAGGGTTTGGTAAACATGACATGCTTTTTGTTTCATTTTTATATTTGTAAATAGGAACCAAAGGAGGAAAACCGCTAAAACGTAAAAAGGTAAAATTAATGCAACACCAGTCTTTTTTTATTCTGCGCATTGTGCAGCACTAACCAAGGAAGCACCTCTAGTGGCCACTGCAGGTGTTACTTGGCAGTAATGTAAACACTACCTTTTCAATGAAAAGGCAGTGTTTAGATTTAAAAGCTTGCAGGGATTGACTATACTTACAAGAGCAACTACATTAAGCAATAGTTGTTCTGGTGACTATAGAGTCCTTTTAATGCAAATAGCAAGCCATGACCACAGAAATGAAAAGGTTGAATACCGTTAATATCGAAATTAGATTTTTAACAAAGAAGGTAGACTGGCACATTCCTGCCTAGCTGGTATGATGTATTTTCCCAAATGTTAAAATGAACATTGCAAAACATGTTGGCTTAGGCATCTATGAGGAGAATTAAGCACGGAAACTACAATATAAACTTTCTGCATTTAGATTTGTAATGAACAAACCCTGAAATCCGAAAAATAAAGCATTGCACCAAGTGGAAGCTATATGTGGCCTATATACTAGTTAGACCTAACTGAACAACCTCTCTGCTATACCCAGCTAAGCCCAGCTCTGGAAATATCATCACCAAGGACAATTCTCAGCCTCTGAAATAACAGGGTTATTTGTCAGGGCCCCAAGAGTACAGGAACATTTTCTTTTACCCTCCAGAAGTATTTCGCATTCTACTGCTACTGAAGTCCATATCCTACATGATGGCTGGGACAGGGTAGTCCTTGAATGGACTCTGTGTTACACTTGGATTGGTAACTTAAAATTGATGCAGTATTCCTCCCTGTTACCTACAGGTTTCACAGTGAGAGCAGATATTTGTATATTTGTACAGCATCAAAATGTAACAAAATCATCAGTGTGGAGTTTGATAGCATCACAATAGGAAATACTGTCTGAAGGAGGGCTGTAAAATAAAGTGTCTAATGTTTGTCTCTCATTTTTATTTTTAGGCAACAAAACCAAAATCCAAAGCGCGAGCTGTGAAGAAAGAAGAGAACGATGAACAAATTGAAAGTAAAGTAGTAAAGAGTTCAGCAAGAAAAAGAGTCATGAAATCAATCAAGGTGGAGGAAGAAGATGGAATTAAAATTGAGAAGCCACAGAGGACTAAGAGAACCAGTCAAGGAGTGGGCAATAAGAAGACAAGCAGGAGAGGATCAGCTCGGAAAACATCATCCCATCCCCAGAACATCAAGGCTACAGTGCAGACGTCCAAGGTTCCCCGTGCTGTTAAAGCCAAAACACCTCAGAGGAAAACTGCCATCCCAACACGGGAATCTTCCAGAATTAGAATCCTGCGGAAAAGTGGTGAGAGAGGTCACCTTCATAGGTCAAGGTACTCCGTAACCGAGAGCTATGAGCTTAGTAGTAGCTCCCCAGTTATCTCTTCTAGTGTATTACGGGGAAGGGGGTTCCAGTCTGTTGTGGCAAACCAATGTAGACTGGCATAAGAACGCAGAGAATGAATACAATCTAGGCAAAGAACAGTGAAAATGAGGCTTAGTAAATTTACTAAAAATTGAAGATTGTCTCCTTTGTTTGATTTCAATTCAAGGTGACATTGTTTTAGCTGCTGACCACTACTTAAACTCGGCCATGTATTTTGAAATTTATGAATTTGTATTTCATGGTTCCACTTCAAGAGTGCCAGGTGTTCACTGCTGTCGCATGCTAAATTAAAATAAAAGCAGATGTTACAAGATGGGCATTGCTGCTCTCACATACTTATTTGTTACAGGATATGAAACTATATACAAAGCAAGCTTCTTAAAGAGGTCAACCTAAGCACCCTAACCACTGTAGGATGTTATTTTGTTTTGATGTCAGGAGCCCCCAGGCTCTATCCCACAGAAAGTTGTCAAAACTGTTTTAGCTGGTAAGCCTTGGGTGCGTACTGTTTTACCTGAGTCTCTTGGGTGCTTAATTTATTGATTCAACTTAACTTAGTGGCTGATACATTCAATGACATGCAGATAGAGACTAAAATTATAATTGCTAAATGCGAATGGGAAGAACCCTGGGTGCCTGTTGAAACCACGTAAGTGTCAAACCGTGTAAAAATGGTTTTGACTCCCTATCGTGGAATGGTACCAGAGAACAGCTGGCGAACACAGTAGTGGTTATAGTGCCTAGAATGTCCCTTCATTTCAAGGTTTTTAGGGAAGTAACCATATCCTAGTGTAAGCATATCTTTTAACCATATCCTAGTGTAAGCATATCTTTTTTTTTTTTTTTGCTTCTTTTCATAAGTCATTAAACTTGTTACACCACTAAAAAGTATACCTAGTACTCACTCTAATTGGCATAATAACTTTAATAAATGAGATACATTTGTGTAATTGTGTTATGAACGATCCCAAAAGCAAAGTGTTGAAATGTATCACTTTTTATTACACTGTTGTCCGCAGAATTATTAAGAGCTGATAACCAAAAGCTTTGTAACAACACTGTGCTGCATATATTAATCAAGAATATTTTTGTAAAAAAAAAAAAATAGTTAACTTCTTAGCTGGTCAAACATAGGCCTCACTTTGATATGTTTGGATACATTTTTAACCCCTTCAGGACGGAGTTAATAGTACACGTTCTGATCAAAACAAAAACTGGAATTTGCGCTATATGTGAACCATAATTCACCTCTTTCATATTAATTGCACCCACACTTATTATATATCATTTTGTTCAGGAGAAACAGTGCTTTAATTTCTTATGAACTATTGATATATGAAACATAACTTATTATGAATAAAATAAAAAAAGGTGAGAAATTAAGATTTGAAAAAAAAATTGTAGTTCCGTCTGACATTTTAGCGATAAATGTCATGATACTGTTCGCTTTTACTGCAATAAAAGGCACTTATTTGTATTCAGAAATGTCTTACGAATAACACAGTACCCCTCATTAGCAGGTTTTACAGTGTTTTGGAAAGTTACAGGGCCAAATATAGCACATTCCATTTTTCATTTTTTTAACATTAAAATTTGTCAGATTAGTAAAGTTACATTTGAGACCGTGTGGTAGCCCAGGAATGAGAATTACCCCCATGATGGCATACCATTTGCAAAAGTACACAACCCAAGGTATTGCAAGTGGGGTATGTCCAGTCAGATTTATTTTTACACAGTAAAAGCTGTTAAAACTCCTTGAGTGCCGGTCTTTCCACTTTCTATATATATATATATATATATATATATATATATATATATATATACACATATATATGTATTTAAATTCTATGTGTATACTTATGTAATCATTTATGTAATTATATATATATATATAGAATGTCCTTCTAAGTGTATTTTGTTACATATATATATATATGTATATATATATATATATATATAGTAATAACAAAATACAGTTAGAATGAAATTACAAATGTACCGTATATACTCGAGTATAAGTCGAGTTTTTCAGCACATTTTTTGGGCTGAAAAACCCCCACTCGACTTATACTTGAGTCAGTGTCTGTATTATGGCAACTTACATTGAAAGAGCGATCACATGGCCCCCGGGGTCCTGATTTGCCGTAGGAGGGCTGCCTGGGCTGTCAGGCAGTCCTCCCGAAGAGGATCGCGGCGGAGGTAAGTAAATCTCACCTCCTGGGGCTGCAAGCCGTTACGGCGTTCTATGCTTTAAAGCCCATTTAAATGGGGGCAGCATAGAACGGCGTTAAGGGGTTAAAGTTATTTAATTTTCTAGATAAATTATTTAAAATGATTTTTTTTTTTATGATAAAATAGCAAAGAATATATCATATTAACAATTCAATGTTTGTGGCCCCAGGACATACTTAAAATTGAGAGAAATCTTAATGTATCCTTCCTGATAAAATATTTTATAAATAAATATTTAAAATGTTAGGCTGAACTTGATGAACACAAGTCTTTTTTCAGCCTATGTAGTTATTCAATTAAAACATTTTCCAAAATATTAAATCATTTTAAAAGTAAATCCAAAAAATATATGAAATAATTTAAAAAGCTTATCCAACATATATTAAAATGAGGCCATAGAGCCCAAGGCTTTCTTGGACCCTAACAAAGTTATACCTTTATTATATTTTTGTATAACTCAGTATTGGATAAAAATCGTACATTGATGGTTGTATTATTTATATGTTGGCCTGATAAAATGGACTGTCTGGTCACTGTCTAAGTTGGGATTTTATTTCTTCCACAAACTACATTTAATGCTAACCTGTATTCTTACCCAGGTGGCCGTGCGGCTGAAAGTACTACTGACTGACCTCTGCTCATGGAATTACACTGAAGAACAGAATGCTCAGATGTTTTGTTGTTTTTCCTGTGGCTTAAGGCTAATGTTCTTTTTTTAAATTGTGTAAAAATGTTAATGTTAAACCCTACCACCCCCTTCCAAAAAAAAAAAAATAGTAACATATTGAAAAATTTTCATATTATAATCTTAACATGTTAATTGAATTAGTCATCTGTAATATATATAATAGACAATGTGCACTTCCATTACCTGCCTCTGTTGCACAAACTCCCCAACTTGCACCTGTCTCCATCCTAGAATGCTGAAATGTTTATTTTTATTTTTTTTACACACAATGTCAGACCTTTTTCATGTAATAAGAAATAAATCTATATCAATTGTTTTTGTTCTTGTGTTTGTGTGTGCAGAACTATATATATTTCAAGCAAGCACCTGGAATTCTGTAACACATTCACGTTTTGAATTTTTTTATTTTGAAATGATTCTTAAATATAATATATGTTTTTCTGTGTTGGTGTCCTCAAAATGCTGATTACTATACACACTAATAAGGTTATTTACTACAGTGAGAATGGTCTGGAATTCAACGTGAATTCAAACTGAATCTTAAATTTAAGGCCAAAGTAGCGAACTGGAAGTATATTTGACTTGGAAAGTTTTTCCACTTTGTTCTTAAAGGAACACTGTAGGCACCCAGACCACTTTAGTGTCCATGTTAATTTAGCCCTACAATGATAAAGGGACACTATAGGCACCCAGACCACGTCGGCTTATTGAAGTAGACTGGGTGCTGTGTCCCTAATGTTTATATTGCAGTTCTAAGTCTGCCCACAGTTTCCAGAATCGAAACGGAACTTTGGTTCTTTATCTGACGCAGGACGTCCTGCCGCAATGCATGAGGACCTCCAGCATCAGATTTTCCCCATAGGAAAGCGTTGAATAATGCTTTGCTATGGGGAAATTCTAATGCGAGCGCGGCCATTGCCACGCATGTGTATTCGGCTTCCCCCGCCGGCTGACGTCTTTGGGGGAGGAGTGTGGGCAGAGCCTAACCCAGCGCAGAGGGACTTCCGCACTAGATTCATGTAAGGGACCGAGGGGGGCACTATAGGCACCTAAAGTGCCAATAAAACAGCTTTGTTTTCCTGGCACTATAGGATCCCTTTAAACATTTCTATGTATGTTTCCATTGCAGGGCTAAACACACCTAGAGTGGCTGTCTACCTGATAGCCACTAGTGGATCTTCCAATATTAGAACCAACTCAAACTCTGCTAGCTCACATGTACTTCTTGTCCCCAATACCCTTCTATGAGAAGCATTGGATTGGACAAGAAAATGAAAAGCCAGCAAGATGTCATGGGCGGTGGAATGAGCAGCTGCAGGGACATGTACTTCTCGTCCCCTTGCACCTCTATGAGAAGCATTGGATTGGACATGAAAATGAAAAGACAGATGTCAAGGGAGGTGGATCGAGTGACTTCAGGTAGGATCGCGGCGCTAGCCATAAATGCACTTCTTTGGATTGGACAAGAAGACGAAAAGTCTGTGAGATGTTGTGGGAGGTGTATCAGGCAGCTGCCGCGACTGGATCTCTGCACTGGAAGAAAGCTAAGTAACACCCTTATTCCATTTAAAAAAAAAAGTCTGAACCGAAAATGGTGAGGAGAAAACTATAGCGTTAATAATAAAGGTGTGTGTTCCAAATGCTGTTGTGTTACTTTAAATATGAAATTTAGGATTTGCGGCTCTATGCACAGTTACACAAATCGAATGTTCTGTGTTTATACATTCTCTTTAGGCAGTTTGTTATGATGGAGGTATTCTGTTCTTCATTCTTAAGGAGTAAAGGGTTAAGACAACCAAAGCAAACATGATATTGTCAGTTTTTATATCCTTTCATAAAGTGTGGCAGTCCAGTAGGATAAAAGAGTTGACATGAATGTTGTTGGCATAGCAGTTATCTGGGGGGAAGGGGAATGACATGATTTTTGCATTCTGAATGTAGAAGGTTTACATATTATTTTGTGCATTGAATTTATATCTCACGCACCATCAGGTCATATGTATCCAAATTACCATATGTGTATTACCTATCTGCTGTGAGAGGTTTTTCTTTTCTTGAATTTTTTTTTTACAAAATTCCGTTTCAGAGAAATCGCATACGCAGACTTTAATTGAAATGTATGGTCACCAGATACATGCCATTCATTTACAAAATATTACTAATGTAAACTTTTTTTTTTTTTTTTTTTAAAGGCTACAGCTACCATCACTCTCAGACATGCATTTGGCTAAAATTATACTTGCAGGTCCATTGCACCTTAAAAGTATATTAAGCCCTGAAGCCTCGTGGATAGTCTCCTGTATGGACGGTAAATCACATGACTCTCAGCCAGACCCTCTGCTTTATACTTTTTTCAACATGTCATTAACTATTTCATCTCCACCTTTTTTTTTTTTTACTTTGACCAAACATTCCTCTCCATCATGTCACCTTACCGATCACATGCATGGATTATTTCAATCATCAATTTAGTAAGCAGCGAATAAATTCCTTGAAATAAAACTTACAGCAGTGTGCTCCAGAGAAGAAAAAAACAAACTACAACTCCCTGCAGGCTCAGCGGCAGCTGACCACGCCCCCAAACAATAACAGCAACCAATAGGAACGTAGAGGCGTCGAACGTGAGCTTTAGAATCCGCGGATAACCTGATAAGAGGTGATAACAGCCCTGGAATTCCTTTATTGATACAGTTACAGCAGAGGTAAGCAGATGGAATGCAGGCAGGGTGAACGGCATGATGGGTAAATGCTGGTACAGGTGGTGATCTGGTGAAGCTATCCATGCAGGGGGCGTAACTTGTGTGTTGTGTAACCTTGTAAAGCCAACAACGTGTTTCTGTGATTGCACTATGTAACACCAGCAGATATTTGCACGTATAGTCACACATGCTGGAAAGTAAATGTAAAATATTTTTATTTAAAACTGATTTAAGAAGATCACACTATTCTACAATATGTTGTGGCTTGTTTGAGAGAGTGTAATGTAAATTGCATATTACATAAAACCACCACCAACTAGGATTATATGAGATTGTCATTAAACTATCAAAGCTGGTTTGTATTTATCCAAAATGTTGCTAATTGTGCATTGTGCTGAAAAGTCAGGTTGTGACTTAGAAACTTTTTCCATATCACCTATTTTAGCCTGAACTGAGCCATTTGTTTTGCATAAATTTGGACTCGGAATTACAGAATGGTCAATGTACCCGTCAACTTTCTAATTATTTATGTAAAACCTTTTACAAAAATGTTCTGGTTAAATATATAGGCATATACTCATAATAAACTAATAAGAACAACAAATACATTTGACTTGTAAATACAGACTTGAAATAAAAAAAGAATTGATCTGATGTTTTATAAACTAAGACATTTTTTAGAAAAGCATATTTTCTGCACTGTACATTCACTAAAATAGGAATTTATATAATGAATACCTCGGTAAAGCAAGATGTGAGAATGCTGTGGGATTCACACTGCTCTTGCATTCCACAAATTATAGGGCCTTGATTGGTTGAGGGATCTCTGTCAATTCCTGGTTTCTGTTGGCCTAATATCCAAAGCAACAGGTATCCAAATAGACATTCGGGTATAATTTTGGTACTGCATGAGAGAGGTGAAAATGCACCGCACTGTGTTAATTTATTTTGCATTACAAAGAATTCCTCTGCGTCTTTTGGGGTTTTAATGACTTTGTTCATTCCCTTTTAGTGTTTCCGGCAATATGCCTGAAGGTCCAGAGCTCCATCTTGCCAGCATTTTTGTTAACACTAGATGTGCCAATTTGCACTTTGCGGGTGCTGTAGAAAAATCTGAGGTCAGTAAGAACCCAGAGGTTCCTTTCTGCTGCCCTGACTACACAATCAGCTCAGTGTCTCGTGGAAAAGAAGTGAAGCTCATCCTTACTCCGGTAGAAGAAGGACATGAGCCCACCCACATTCTCTTCCGATTTGGTATGTCAGGAAGTTTCACCATGACGAATGAGGACGAAATCCCCAAACATGCCCACTTACGTTTCCACACAAAAGGTGTTCCTCGCCAAGTTCTTTGTTTTGTGGATCCCAGGCGCTTTGGTTCCTGGGAAGTGAACGGTTCGTGGCAGCCAGAACGTGGCCCATGTGTAATGCAGGAATATGAAAAATTCAGGTACGGGTGAGAAGATAATGAGAATATTTTAAGGGAAACTTGTCAGTGTTCTTTAAAAAAAAAATAAAAAAAAGTTAAAAATATAAAAGGGGAGGACTCTGCTGGTTTACATAGTGATAAGTCCATAACTATCTTTAATAAATCTCTCCCAATGTGTATTTATATAGAGTGTTGTTATTTACCTAGTCTAGAAATGGGTCAACTAAGATGCAGGAAGATATTTGACAGAGCATCAGATCAGCAAAAGAATTCTCTTAATTTTAAAAAATTTTTTTTACATGATTGATACCTATTGTAGAGTAAAAGGGGAAAACAAAACATTTTCAACACCGCTTCACCCATGGGGTGTTTGCTTATTGAAGAATGTTTCAGCTGTGCCATCAAATTTCATTCTTTTACGATCTTCCTTTTTATTTATTCAGGGAGAACGTCTTGAAAAATCTGTCCGACAAAGCCTTTGATAAACCGATTTGTGAGACTTTACTTAACCAGAAATACTTCAATGGAATCGGGAACTACCTGAGGGCAGAGATCCTGTTCCGGTGAGAGCAGAACTATGTAAAGAATGAGATATGTGGGGAGATGAGGTGGCAGTAATGGTAACTAAAGAAAATGCCTGATTAGGGAATTGATTCTTAATTCTTGGGTTAGGCCTCAAATTGAATTTTAACTTTTTATTGGTTGGAACAGACCTGTCTTATTCATCAAACCCTAGATGGCTGTCTCACATATTGCTTTAGGAAACGTGCTATGTCATGTTTTTTTCTTCAGTAGTTGCTTCTACTTATCTGTGTTTTTTATTTCCTCATTGGCCATTGTATGCCTCTCTTTAAAGGTTACAGATTCCTCCATTCATGCCGGCTCGCACTGTGCTGGAAGCTGTAAAGCTACACAATCAGGTCAGATGTTATCTCAGATGGTCCATCATGTCACTCAGAAATCTGTACTATACGCTTGTTGGCAAAAAGAACTTCTGTTTAACTGCACTCTTTGTCCAGATGTCCAGGTATTTCTCTTTTGTGCTCTAGTTTCTTTAAAAATGAATCCAGTTAATTGGTATATTTGCTCCGTCTTTGTGGATTAATTTGCCAGAATATATTCTGCTACTGTGGCTTTTAAAGCAAAGTATTTCAAGACCGAAAATAGGATCTGGTGCAAGTTCCTTCCATGGATCATCATTCACAACACAATAAATTGCAAATTATCACCTTGACCTACAGAGCCCTTACTAACTAACCCTAGCCACACCTACCTTGGCTGTGACTCTTAGAGCCATGGAAAAAAGTTTTTTACAGTACCGTGTGTTTACTTTAAAATACCTCCCATTTTGTTAATTGAACTTTAATCACACACAGGAGGCTGGTGAAAACTTTAGCAGGCATTTAACAGAACAGGAGATAATAACTTCTAAATTAAACACACTTTGCAATAAGGAAAGCTAGAACACATGGGGTTTGTATGGAGGCTGTGTGAGTCACAGTTGGAGAAGGTATCCCTGCAATATAAACAAAGTGATTGAACTCCTAAATGACAGATAATTGATTAGTGAGAATGTGGGGCATGATTTATACACCAAACCTGCTTCAGTCAGCTAAAGTGGTCTTGTGCTTAGTGTCCCTTTAAAGTCGAACAGCATATGCAAAAACATAATTAATGCATCAATACCAACATGCACACATTCTGCGAAGAGTTAAATAATTTGTTTCCATTTGTTTTTGTGGTTTAAATGCTGGTACAATACATTTTTATGTAGATGAATGTTAAAAGGATACTGTAGTGCCAGGAATACAAAGCTGTATTCCTGGCAACAACCCTCCCCACCGCCCTCCGACTAGTAAATTTAACCCCTTTATTTACTTACCTTTTCCCAGCGCCAATGTCCGTCCGCACTGAGGCGATGCTCCGCCCCCTCCTTCTGAACCAATGCTTTCCTATGGGGGAAAACTGACGCTCATGGAGAGCTTGAGGACGTCCAGAGTCAGATACCGGACCAAAGGTCTGTTTCAATTCAGGAAGCCCTCTAGTGGCTGTCTGGTAGACAGCCACTGAGGGCAGACTTAGAGCTGCAATGTAAACCTTGCCGTTTCTATGGAACAGCAATTTTTTTTACATTGCAGCACTAAGTGCACTTCAGTTAGCTTAAAGGACCACTATAGACAGTGCACCTGGACCATTTCAGTTAGCTTAAAGGACCACTATAGGCACCCAGACCACTTCAGCTCAATGAAGTGGTCTGGGTGCCAGGTCCATCTAGTGTTAACCCTGCAGCTGTAAACATAGCAGTTTCAGAGAAATGTTTTACATATGGGTTAATCCAGCCTCTAGTGGCTGTCTCACTGACAGCCGCTAGAGGCGCTTCCGCGCTTCTCACTGTGAAAATCACAGTGAGAAGATGCTGACGTCCAGAGGAAAGAATTAAGAAATGCTTTCCTATGGACTGTTTGAATACGCGTGCAGTTCTTGCCGCACATGCGCATTCAAAGCTGACATCGGGAGAGGGAGGAGAGTTCCCCAGCGCCGAGGGAGCCCGGCGCTGGATTAAGGTAAGTGTTTAACCCCTTCAGCCCAGTGGGAGGGGGGCCATGAGGGTGGCAAGTTTGTTTTTCTGGCAATATAAAGGTCCTTTAAGTGGTCAGGGTGCCTACAGTGTCCCTTTAATAAATGATATAATTTTAATCTTTCAGCCATCACCTCCAAACTCCCCCTGCTACCTCTTGTCTCAAATCCCCATGGTATCCTTTAGATTGAAGGCTCACGGGCCATCTAGCCAAGCACTTTGTATAAAAGAGCTCCAATGGCTAGATATCAGCTTACGGGCAGGGCTCTTTCTACCTCTTGTATTTGTCTGTGTATATTGTACGTTTCTCCACTAATTGGACAGCGCTGTAGAATCTGTTGGCGCTTTATAAATAGCAGTAATAAATAAATAATCCTTTTTAAAATGTTAAGCTGCTAACTTTATATCTTTGATTCTGTTAGATACACATTTGTGTTTATATACGAATGTGTCAGTTGCCAGCAATTCAAGGTTGACATGGCAAACAAGGGTTAGAAAAGAAACCGTGCCAATCGGATCCCTCCTGGCACACTAGAAAAAAGGCTTCATTAAACCCGGATAATATACAAACAAGCCACACAAGACCTACATCAAGATTATATTTCTCTTTTCAGATCTTAAACCAGTTGTTAATGTCTTTAGTCATTGTAGAAGAAACCTGCAGTGTTACAATATTACAAGGGCAGTGTGTAACGGATCCCTTATACTCGGGCTGAGTATATCCGTGAAGAGTCTCCTGAAATCCAAGCATAGAAGTGATTTACAGTGAATATAGCTCACAATCCCCCAAGACTTCATGAAGGGGTAATCCAAATGTGTTTTAATGGTACCCACAACTGGCCTTTTATGCAAGTCCCCATCCAAGGGGTACTCCCCCCTGGACCTGAGAGTAGACTGCAGTACAATCACACAGGCTCTCAGGTCCAGGACACTCCCACATAAAACAGGATAATTTCTCATCTGTACCTGGGAGATAAGTGAGTTAAGTACTGTATTAAACTCCATTATCTCCAGGTACAAAAAACATCTCGTAAAAATGCTTTATAACACCAACGGGGTGAAGATCTGACTGACCGCTCTTGAGGCACCTGCCCAAATCAGTTCCACAGTTTCCGAGGTGGTGGTCGGTCAAGTTCGGGAGTTATAAAAATGAATGAAAAGACGTACTGTTCCCCTGGCTCATTAGCGTTTAGCGTTTGTTTTTTGAGATCCGTTCGAACAAACCTACCAAACAGCGCTCTCCTGGCTTGCCACGAACAGAAGCAGGTGTTCGTTTGTATAGTTTTACTGGTGTTCATGCTGTCGAGTGTCCGTCTCGGAGTTCCAGACACTCGACGACCAAGTAATCCTGCCTGCTTTCGTGTGACAAGATGGCCGCCGTTTTCTCCACCACGTGGCATTCGGTTATACGAACATCAGCCATACAAAGAGAGCACTAAATTATTGTGGTTTCTTTGAACTTAATGAGCCAGGGGGGTGGTCTGTATTCGGTACTTTATAGTCTTGAATGGTAGAAGAATAAGGGAATCCCAGATGAAGCTAATTCCTGTACAGAGGAGGCTAATTGCTTTGGCTAAGGCAAAATAGGGGTTTTGTCACACAGTGCTGTGGTCATGGAGACTGAAATGTTTTTTTTTTTTATTAAAATTTTTGCAATACCCCTTTTTATTTTATTATTCACAGAACAGTGATCTCTCCCTTAGTAAGAAAGTGAAGATTAAGAAGGAAAACCCAGATCTGCTGCAGCTCTGTCATTTGGTGCCTTACGAGGTCATTAATCTAGGTATGATGGCATGTATAAACAGACGGAGTTAGACTTGCAAGTACAGGAATGTTGTGTTTTTCTTTTTGTTTTGTTTTTTTTTATATTTAAAGCGGCACTGTCATGCCAAATTTTTTTTTTTTTTTTTTTTTTTTTTGCGCTCAGGATTTTTATTTTATTTTAAGTTCGACGGTTATGATGGTTTTTTATTTGGCCTTTTTTTGGGGCTGAAAAATTAAGATTTGAGAAAAAAAGAAGACGTTGAATGTTAAGTTTAATTTTACTTTACAGGTTAGTTATTTTATTCCCCCCCTTACTATTTTTTAGGGTGAGGGTGGTAGGTAGGGACTTTTTTATTTGGGTGGGGGGGTGGGTGTCTAGTGGCTTGGGGACCCCTAGTCACCTTGGGGGGGAAATTGACTTATGGCTGCCGCCCAGGGGTGGGGGGAGGACAGTAGGCCCCCCCCCTCATTATCATTATGGCTCCCACCCGCCGCCCAGGGGTGGGGGCGGGGGGAGGGAGGACAGTAGGTCCCCCCTCATTATCATTATGGCCCCCACCCGCCGCCCAGGAGTGGGGCAGTAGGTCCCCCACCCGCCGACCAGGGGTGGGGGAGCCGGGGGGGGCAGTAGGTCCCTCCCCTCCCCATTATCATTATGGCCCCCACCACCGCGCAGGGGTGGGGGCCGGGGGAGACACATTAGGTCTCCCCCCTTATTTTACTTTAGGGCCCCCACCTGTCGTTTAGGGGTGGGGGCCAATAGTTTTAATTTTTTTTTTTTTTTTTTTACAGTGAGCAGCTCACTGTTTACTAGACATGCCCCTACTCGTGGTATAGCGAGTAGGGGCATAATTTACTAATACTACGTAATCTTTACTTAGTATTAGTAAATTTGTCTGAAAGACCAATTTAGGTCTTTCAGCCTTTTAGTAGATAACTCCCTGATACCGTGGGAATTAGGGAGTTATCTACTAAGCGGCTGCAAGATGCAGCCACAGCACGAATAGGATCGGAGTTTCATTCATTCGAATGAAATTGCGATCCGAATAAAGTGACGAATTGAGTTCTAAAAGAAACTAACATACTGTTCTCATTCAGTTAGAACGCAATTCGGCAGTTTCATGTAAAATGACAGGAAGCATCGTGGGAACACAGAGGAAAGGTGAGAATTATAGGAAAATTGCTCTGACCAGCGGAAATGAAGAACACTTTGCTCCTCCGCTGGTCAGAGCTGGTCAAGCGGAGGAATCCTCCATAAGGCAAAGAGTACCTACTTTGTCTTATGATTTTAAAGAAAACTAAAGAAGACCGGAAGAAAAGAACAGATCCTGAGAGAGGGGGAGAAGAGGAAGAGATTGAGGAAAGGTAAGTTCGGCATGACAGTGCCGCTTTAAGGAAAGGAATTTCAAAGATTCAGATTGATAATCATACCAGGCCATAACTCTCATTTGCAGTGAAATCAAAAGTGTGGATATAAATCGGGATTACATTGAATCTAATGATGAATTGCTATCTCTTCAGGAGGAAAAGGTTATGGTCCTGGAGATTCCGATTATTCCGATTTTGAGAATTGGTTGCAATGCTACTTTGCTCCTGGAATGAAATCTCTGAGAGACCGCAATGGGAGGACCATTTGGTTTCAGGTGAGACAAAGCTTGGGAGGACCGAGAGACAACAGGGGCAAGAAATTATATATATAAATTATTCCGGAGAACCAGGCTCTCCTAGAAATCTGAGTGAACCTGTTAGATGTGGATTAGGATTGTGCTTGTACAGGCAGGGAGAATGATGTATGCTAACACCATGATACCACATTGAAAGGTGAACTATTAATTCGCTCTATGTTCCATTATAATGTAACCAGTAAGAATAATTCTGTATAAATCTAAAACAAATTATTTGCGATATGAATACAACTTTGCCACGGACACTAATAAGCCAAAGCATTTACTTCTGTCAGTGCAAGTATAAATTGCATCGTTAATACTATGCACATATTAACATCATAGGCAGACCATAATACCTTTCTTAATTTTGCATAAATAACATTATGAAGAAATGACTTTCTTATGAGCTTTCACGTTTTACGATCACTTAATGGTATATTGCGTAGGAAATGGTCTAGTGTATTATTGCTTCAATTAAGAAAATGATGCTAAAATAAGGAATTGGAAAATAGTTTGACTCCGAGTGAATCCTATTCACTGGCTTTATACAGGAAATCCATGTGGTGGCGGTGGTGGTTGTTTTTATTTCTTTAGACTCTCCTGTAAGTGGCAACTAGCTCGCCCTCCCCGTCTCTTCACTAATTTATAATTCAGTGTCTGTCCGTCTCATTCTAGGGGGACCCAGGACCACTTGCTCCTAAAGGTGAGTTACATTATTGTGCCTACCTTTGGTTTTCACTATGGTGCAGCTTCTGGCACTAACTAACGCTTTTTGCTATTGATCTGTATGCCATTTCCTTTTATTTTATTATGTCACAACCCTCCATACAGCAATATTCTCTTAACTGTGAATTGTCTGGAATTCCTCAGGGAATTGTAAATAAAAAATTAAAAAAAGCCACAAAAGCTTATCTGAAGGGTACCTGAATGGTGAATTCACAGCCATTTCCTGTTAAGTGAATAACTCTCTGCCTTGTATCTATAACTATCCCTGTGTTACAGTATGACATATAACTTCTGACGCTTGAGATCTAACCTGTGATAACTGTTTGTCATTATTTCCCATCATTTATCTTAAAACATCAGTTTGTCTTGCTAGCCCTTCACTTACTGACTTATTCACTACTAGGGAGCAAAGCACGGAAGCAACGCAAGTCTGTTGATAAAGATCCAAGACCTGCAAAGGTAAACTTTACAAGCTATTCACGGTGTGCTACATGGCTGCAAACTCTGGGCTTATTAAAATATTTCCTCTCCTTTTTAATTTAATAAGGACAATAAAACTGTATTGCCAGCAGTACAGTCTGTAGTTCTGGTGGAGCTCCCATACTCAACCAGAGTATCTACTTTCTCAAATTTCGGGACCAGAGATGTCAAATCCGATGTTCCATGGGATTATGGGAGTTGTAGACCAATAACATCTAGGATTCTATGTTCCTACTTCACTTTCAGGAATGGATCCTTCACAAACACCAGTTTTTCAGTTATACATGAAAGCAAAGTGTTGTGTATTTATTTTTTTTAAATTTGTTTACCAAAACCTACTCCATTCTCTCTGTTCTTTCTTTCAGGTTGTAAGAACTGTAAAGAAACCTAAAATTGCTGTAAGCAAAGAGGTCAAGGTGAAGAAAGAGGAAGTGGAGGAAGCAGTGATTGACGATAGAGCACCCAAGGTTTCCCGGAAAAAGAGAGGGCTGAAAGAAGTGAATGAAGCGGAGAAAGAGCGTAAAGTTAAAAAAGAGAAACCGCAAAGAGGAATAAAAGGTGGGGATGGAGAAGAGAAAGAGAAGATTGCTAGGAGAGCATCACAACGGGGATCTGCTCTGAAAACGCCTGTTCGAAAACAGCGGGGCAAGTCTGTATCTGAGGAGCCTGTGCCTGTTAAAGTGAGACCACGGCGACTGAAGTCTGACAGTGTGTCCTTATCACAGGACTCTCCTAAACCAAGACCAAGGGCTCTAAGGAAAAAAAGTAAGGGTCTTCTGCGTATAAACACCCATATGATCTACTTTTCTATACCAAATGTGCAAGAATAAACTATATATAGAATACAGAAATAGGGCGCCACTTAACACAAGAATTAATAGTTAGTATATTTAAAACATTCAATATGTGCTTAAAAGCTGGTGCCTCAAATAGGCTGAGTCCACAGGTCTAGCAGTCCGTAGTAATGGTCTATGCAGATTGATGGAAATGGACCGAAGTATTCACCACCAGACGCTTAGTTCATCTTTCTGGGTAAGGATCTGCTCAACGCGTTTCGTCTTTTGGATATTCAGACTTCATCAGGAGATTGCTTGTGTCTTCTTAATTTGGCATTTAAATATGCCGAGTGGCGTCCCGTTCGTGTGTCTGCGCCCGCACGGCCGTGCACAAATGTGATGACAGACCATCCATCTGCGTCGACTGCGCGCGTTCCATCGTGGAAGGCAAACGCGCTCGGTCGATGCCGATGGATGGTATGTCATCACGTTGGCATATTTAAATGCTGAATTAAGACACAAGCAATCTACTGATGAAGTCTGAATATCCAAAAGACGAAACGCGTTGAGCAGATCCTTAACCAGAAAGGTGAACTAAGCGTCTGGTGGTGAATACTTCGGTCCATTTACATCAATCTGCATAGACCATCACTAAGGCTGAGTCCACAGGTCTAGCAGTCTGTAGTGTTGTGTGGTGTGTGGGTTATTTTTTTATTTTTTTATTTTTTTTTTCTGTAAGAACAATAAGGATGTGGAATTCTCTGCCTTAAGAAGTTGTTTCATCAGAGTCCATACAGATGTTCAAACTGCAACTAGATGCACACTTGCAAAAACAGAATAATCAAGGATCTAATTTTTCAATGTAGGGTCTGCCATTCTAGGGTCGAATGTTATTTATTTATTTTTATTTTTTTCTAGTTTGTTGCAATATTGGAAGTGCTTCAAACTTTTTTTTGGCCGCCTTTTGGATCAACCACGAAAAACAAATGTGAGGAAGGTTAAACTTGATAGATGCAAGTCTCTTTTCAGCTATGTAAATAAAATAAATGAGAAAATTTTTTTTTTTTTATATATATTGAATTATAATTTTTTTTAAATTTATTTATTATATCACTCAGACAAATTAAAACGCGTGAGAAAACCATTGTCGTGTGTGGTAATTAAGACTGCTGAGAGTTTCTGGGTAAATTTGGAAATGGTGACAACTGTATTTATGCTAGCCTTCATCGGGTATAATCAAATCTCTCGATATTATTATTATTATTATTATTATTAATTATTATTATTATTATTTATATATAAATTTAATCTAATTTAGTAGATTTTAAATTCTGGTAAAAAAAGTTTAACTTTTAAGGCAAATTAGCCATGTGGGCTACTAAAGTGAGAATTACATTTCAGGCCAGAGTAGCCTAATTGAAAGCATTGCTCATTTAGAGAATTTTCTAGTTTGGCTAATAAAACTTGAAATTCACTTTGAATTCTCACTTTAGTGCATAACCTTGACAGAGTACTTTGCACGAATAGAAGATTTACAACATGTATTTGCTTTTCTTTTTCTGTTTTTGTCTTTGCTGATTTCTTTTGTTTCTACCACTAGTTTGACGTGGAATTCCTACTGAACACACATCTTGACCAAGTGCTTCAACCAACTTGTTTAATCTGTCACCGATGCTGAAATATCTAGACCTTTCAAGATCTCTTGTAGAGAATTAATTTTACATTGTTTCATGTATGTAATCTGTATGTTTTTTTTTAATTGTGTTTTTATCCTCTCTTCTCTTTTTTTAGTTTTTGTATAAACTTGGATTATGAAATACATTGTAATAAATATTTTACCTTCATTTTTTTAAAACTACATAAAATAAATAATTATTTTTTCCAATGCATGTGATACATAATTTATTGGCATGTACTGGAATTTGCAATGTCAATCGCTTAAAGGTAAACCGACACTTCCAAGAATTTTTATATTTTATTTTCCTATCTCCTATACTTAAATGTTGTTTTTGGTGAGGTGTGAAAAGTAAAATTAAATGTAGAAATCATCATCTCTTTATCCTGCAACTGAAAGCCTCCATCTTTGCGCCTGGTCAATCATTGTTATAAGTTCTGTACATTGCACCTGGCATTCCGCATAGAGAATGCAAAGTGACAGTAGGAAAAATGAAACATGGCTTCAGTTCCTCTTCCTTATGTGACGGGATTGTGATGACATTTTCTAAATCTTTAAAGGGATACTATAGTGCCAGGAATATAGGGCGACACTGCCTCCAGGGCCGGTGCAAGGACTTTTGCCGCCCTAGGCAAAAGTAAAGTTTGCCGCCCCCCCCCCATGTGACATCACAATGCCCCACCCATATGATTTGCCATGTTAACTAACGCTAGTGCTGCAGTGCCGCTGTGTTTACATTAAAAGGCCTGCAGGGACAGGCTATAGACACCAGGACCACTACATTAAGGTGCAGTGGTTCTGGGGACTATAATGTTTCTTTAATGTGAGGTAAATTAGAGATTAGTGCCACGAATAATATACTAGATTACCTACTTACAAGCAGATGAGGATGATGATGGGCTCTGGCTGCAGTCTGGCTCCACTGGTCTGGTGTATAACAGGATCTCTGGAGGCTGTTTGTAACTGTGGTCACAAAAATCAATGTTCTGGGAGAACGAGAAGCAGCTCCATTTTTTTGGGGGCCCTTTACACAGCTCAAGGTCTGGGTCCCAGGGTCCACCTTCATGTTCCACCAATGAGTTTGTTAACAGGGGGTGGAGTGTGTAGGGGATGTCCTGATATGTGTGTAAGGAATGCATTGTGTGAATCTGTGTTTGTATGTGTAAGGGCTGCAAGGTGTGTTTCTGTGTATGTAAAGGGATGAAGTGTGTGAGTCTGTAAGGGGTGCTTTGAGTGTGTTTAAGGGGTGCATTGAGTGTGTGTAAGGAATGCATTGTGTGTTTCTGTGTGTGTAAGGGTTGCATTGCGTGTGTGTGTGTGTAATGCATTGTGTGTTTTTCTGTGTGCAAGGGGTTCATTGTCTTTGTGTGTAAGGGGTGCATTGTGTGTGATTGTGTGTGTGTGTGTGATGGATGTAAATCTCTCCCCCCTCCCTTGTCACTCTCTTCTCCCCCCCTCCC